TACAAATGATCCCAATACGTATGAACTATGAAAAGATCTTAAAATCAATACAGATGTATTTATTATAAACGTTAGTCCTTAACATCTATCACTGTGTATATCACCATTCAAACATCTTTTAAAAGTTGAACAAACCCCACACAGCTCAGTAAAGACTGTGAGATGTTGACTTTATTTGATCATTTCAGTAAAAACTAACGTTCATATTTCTCTTTTTGATTATAATACTGATGAACGTTCAAAACAAAGCACTTTGGCAACTTACCACATACGTTTTAAAATGCTTAATAAGCACCGTAACTTTCATGATATCATTTCTCGGTCATAATCGGTTGTTTCCGTGAACGGCCGACTGTTGAGTGACGGCAAATGCTGCGGCTGCAATGCATTGTGGGGCAGCATTTTCTCCTCTCCTTTCGTCAAGGGAGGTCCAGTGGTTCCTAAGCTAAAGGAGGTTATAAAGGAAGTTTGAAACCTCCTTTCCTTTCATTTAGAGAATTGGAACGGCACTTATAATGGCTGCCACTGAGGGACTTCCGGGTCATTTCACTCCGTTAGGAAGGTTCCTAAGCTAAATGGACTATTGGAACGCAACCTTAGTCCTGTGTCAAATGTCCTTGTTAGTTTTAGTCATATTTAGTCACCTTCATCCTGTTTTTATTTAGTCAAGTTTTAGTCGACTAAAAGTCTGAGCATTTTAGTCTTACTTTAGTCAAAGAAAACTAACTATTTTAGTCTACTTTTTGTCAACGAAAACTGTTGACATTTGAGTCTTTTTTAGTCATCAGATTATATTGAACATTTCAGTCAAACTAGTCTAGCCAAAACCAATCATTTGTCTTTTTAGTCAAACTTACTTCACAATAAGATGAAGAGTGATAGAGCCAAAAGAGCAGTGTGGCTTCAGGACAAGAAATTAATTATAGAAAGTTCATTCACTTTCAGTCTGTGGCTCGATCGATCGAGGTATTGATCTTTCCTTTCATTTCAGTTAGCTGATGCTTTCATCTAAAGCAACTTTAAATAATTGTAATAAGCCATTGTACATTATGAAGTAGACCAACTGTGACTAAGCACAATGGTATGACCAGGGTATATGCAGGAATCCTGAAGTCAAATGTAAAACCTTTTAAGACCTTTTTTAAGACCCTTTCCATACATTTTAAGACCTCATCGCCACTTCGAGTTTTAACCGGTTACCTTGGCGACACACTTTACCTCACATTGACTATAGACAGTATTGATTGTCCTTCCTCCGTATCTTCCAAACATTTGGACGCAGACTTGCATTTCCCCATAACGATGTTGCTTAGCAACCGGCGTAAACGGACCTCCGCGCGCTATCAAGCAGTGAGCGTGCGATGTCCTGTTCAGATGACGTCAAACCCAACGGGATGCCATAAATAAACTACACAGAATCACAATACACACCTACGCAATGATTACATTCAGGCACACTGTAGAATACAACCTCTTTGGACAATTTATATACTTATTGAAAACAAGCTACAAAATGTAATACCTTGGAAAATGCCGTTTAACACTTTTTAATAGCCTTAATTTTCGCTAAATTGATTGATCAACTTGTAATACATTTTAAGACCCCGTGGACACCCTGATGACTCATCCACAAACAAGCTACTGACATGAATCCAACAATTTATATTTCAAAACACACGTAGTTCAAACTAAAGCTCGCTGCGGTCAATAAAAAACAGCAGCAGTTAAAAGTCAATAATCTATTCATGATCACTCGCTCCTAGTTTCAGAAAATAGTCAAAGACATAAAAGCCACAGATCTACTTCAGAAAACATGTGAACCAGAGGGTCCTAGAGTCATCAATAACACAGTTCAAACAGAAAATTCAAAACAAATATTGCATAGAAAAAACTATGACCTTGCAGGGCTGAGTATAAAGTTGAACAGATGACTGCTCTGTGCATCTGAGATTAAGATCTTCTTTTGTATTTACTTGCACTATTTTTGCTGTTTTTCTGTGTTATTGTGTTGCACTGTTGGAGGAGCCTGTGACCTAAGATTTTCATCGTCATAACTACACTGTAGCTATGTACGTATGACTAATACAAGCCTTGAAGATCCATGGCATCAAACCATGCCTTTTTGACAAAGCTTGACTACGATAGTGAGAATTGGGCGACTTCCCTGAAGACCCAATCTCTCTCAGGAAGCTCGATGTTCCTCATGTCATCTCGTCAACATCATATCAGATTTCTGAACCACAGAAACTCTGCTTGACATGATCCCGATGCTCCAAGTGCTTTCTTTCAGCACCAATCAGGCTGTAAACACATGCTGGGATATCTCTGAGCCAGGGACTTAAATCATTAATAGCATTCAGTCATATGAAAACATCCTAATGGGACGAGCTTCTTTGCCCCTTCTCGATCTATAAAAGACGGCGGGACGAGCTTCTGATTCACAGTGGTGGCACGAAATGGCCTCAGAACTCATCTCACAAAAGTAATAAGAGAATTTCATCATGCTGCAGCTTTTGACAAATCAAAGGAGTAACTCGTTAAATCCCAACACCTGCTGTTACCAGAGGAAGACTTTGTGTCAAGCTACTTCGCTATTCTCCAGGGACAGAAACATGAAACTTAATCAAAGACACTGAAGACAGAACAACTTGTTACTAACTCGACAGTGTAACGGCCCGTCCACACAGTAGCGTGCGTTGAAGCTTGCCGGCGGGCGTGCCTGAAACTCGACCAACAACCAATCACATGAATCTCCCGCCCCTGACACACAAGCAGCGGTTTGATTGGCTAGAGCTTGTACTGGCATATGATTCGATTGGCTGACGCTTCTGCCGAGGCTTCAAAAGTTGAACATTTCTCTACTTTTGCAGCGAGCCACGCCAGCCACGCTCCACTTCGCTTCCCACAATGCAGTTTGGCGAAAAGTGACGTCAACCCATTCAAAGTGAATGGTGAAGCTTTCAACGCACGCCGCTGTGTGGACGGGCCGTTAGAGATTAAGTGTGGAGCACTCAAATGAAGCTGTCGATAATGCTGGCCCTTTCTACCTTACACAGCATCAACTATCACATCAAACAACAGGGGGAAATAAACATGACATTAAGATAGATCTGACCAAGAGTGGTTTTCATTTGAGTTTTGACATTAAACCCAATTCTGTCTTTTTCTGAAAATCAGCTTTTGGGTCATTCCAGAATTGGAGGACAATTTAGACACCAATTATTTTTTTTTTTATGTATTTAGGAAAAACAGATAATAAACCATCAAAAAAAGTGATTTGCCCAGCTAGGCATCAAATGTATATTTTCCAATGAAGAATTACCCCTGTTACTCTAATTATAGTAACAGGGTTGAAAATCAATGCTAATTTGAGCTTTAACCTCAGGAATTATTGCTAGATGTAGCATGTAATGCTACTTTCAAGGCAAGGACAAACTTGGATATCTAATGCAAGAAAGATAACTTTGAAATTAATATGCTTTATTCTGATAATATGAGTAACAGGGTTGAGTGGGTCAGAGTGCCACACTCTTTTAAGACTGAAAAGATTACTGTTATTTAAAATATGTTTATGATTTAACAAATAGATTTTACCATTACAAGAGACATATATCAATAGAATATTACCAAAAAAAGTAGATAAAATCCCTATTTTAAATGTTATATTTGACATGCAAGTTGGTCACCAAGAAGCGGGGACAAGAGAAAAATGCCATTTTAGGGGATGTTCGAGAGCTATTTGATAATTTAAATAATATTTTGAAACCACTTTTTCTACAACTTCATATACATTTTGTCTCAAGACAAGTATGTTTAACACAACAAGTGCATGTTTTAGCATTTTGGGCATGGATTATTAGATTTTTTATATGGGGGACATGAAATGTCCTCCATATAAAATGTCCTCCATGTGATCTGGTCAGATCTAAAAAAAAGAAATCACATGTGGCCCAATCCTTTTCTGTATATTATAATACTGCAGCTAATGAGTATTTTATATAAGTTAATTGTTTTAATGACCTTTGGCATACCTGAAAACACCCAATTTCTAAGATGATGACTTTAGGTCTCCAATATCGATTCATGTATCCATTTCTAATGGTATAAAACTGAGAAAAGCAGCAAATGCTCACATTGGAGCAGGTGATTTATATATCTGTTGTAGATTGGCTAATCACTTCATAGTTTTAGCTTAATCAAACTTAATCAGAATTTACAAAAGTAATAGTTGCTTGTAAAGTAGCACCTAATGAATACAATAGATAAAAGTGTAAAGCATACAAAATGTGTCCGATACAAAAAACTGTTGAATAAAGTGACGACTGAATGCAGTAAAACACACCATCTCTTATTGACTCCTTTTGTAGGGTGTGGATACAAAGACTACAACAAATGAATGAAGAAACAAAATCAAACACGCTTTTCTTTCTGATTTTGTGAGAATCTCCGCATTCATGCCGTTGGAAAGTGACTCAGAGTAACCTTGCTGCAGGGTGTGTCAGTGCATCGTGACTTCACTGCTGAGTCTGTTTGACCACATCAATCAATGATGCTGTCAAATACAAATCTGTATCTTTCATTGCCCAGACTAAGAAATTAAAAGAATGAATGATTTCAAATTGGAGATGAGGATATATTTAAGATGCGTGCACAGATTATCTGCACGTGGAAACGTATCAGAGGCAGGAGATATATTCATCCTGTGGAGAAACAGCAGGATCACAGAGGCGATTTGAACAAGAGCAGGCAGAGCAGGTGGTGTTAGAGGTGAGGGCCGAAACACAACACAAGGTACAACAAACACCGAGGGCGTGTGGTGAAACAGAAACTCTTCAAAATTTCATTTCTGAGACGTTTAATGTAATTAACGCAGCCAAACGTCTAACCCCCAAAAAATTGAAAACACAGGAAATGTTTTCCCACAAAAAAAAGGGTCATGCAAGATAACAGGAAAAACTGGAGGAGTGTCGAAAAAAAACTTGAATAAAAAGCAGACATACCATTAGTCGGATGCCTGGCAAACGACACAGAAAATCTCTTTACTGGCGGCATAGAGAACAGCTCTGAGGAGATAAGAAAGGTAACTGGGGTTACTGGGACTGCTGGTACCTGCCTGTTGTGCCAGTGTTTTTAACATGGGAGAAAAAAAGAGGAGAGAGAAACAGAATGAGAGATTTGGCCCGTCGATCCATCAGTGTCTGTCTGCCAACCAACATGCGTGAAAGTGAGGGTCGTCTCTGAATGAACAAAGAACAGATAGGCCACCAGAGAGAGGGAGAGGAGAGGCTGTGGAGGGGGAGGAGGACTGGTGTTTTGTCTGGATAGTAGACATGCAGGAGGAGTGACGATGGACTTTAATCTAAGGGGCGTCCCCCTGTGACAGGAAACAGTCTGTGAGACACTACCTCCCTATCTTCCCGTCCTAGGCTGCTGACTAGTGCCATATTTTGGGAAATACAACTTTCATGCCGAGAGTTGGACGCGAGGATTTATGTCTGGATGGTTAAGATGAAGCTACAGACCAGTTGGCTTTGTTCAAATACCCTCACAGTTGTTTAATTTATACCAAACCTGTCGATGTTTTGGCAAATCAAGTCAAAGATTGCCCTTCTTTTAGCACTCGATGAAGAACAAACGGAAATTAGTAAGCATTATTAAATTAGTTTTTGATTAGATTCCCGGAAAGGCTTGTGGTTAATGCAAGCCTACTCATATTTTGTTATACAACATAAAATATGTCAGCATGTCCGAAGCTTTTAACCTACAAGGGGCTCATTGAGATTACTGAAAGTTATCACAAGTCTTAAGCATAGCGGTGCGGACTTCATGCGACCGTCATGAAGGTTGTTTATCACGTTGGCTATTTCATTCTGGCATTTCATTTTCAATTATTTTTTAGGCAACCAGTTCCTTAAATGAAGAGACAGAATTTAAACTGGGAAACAGAGGGGGTGACACATGGCAACTGGTCTCTATTTCAGTTTGAACTATTTTTTAAAGCGGTGTTAGTTTTTAATGGAGATTATGTTGCTGAACCAAACATTTGAAGTTTGTTTGCCAAAGATTTTTCTGCAATATTTCAAAATCCAATGGAAAATTCCCATTGCTTTTAGTAAAGGAACCTTGCTAACTTCCGGGTCGACCTAGAAAAATATGTTGTTGTGTTTCATCAGCTATTATCTGCCTACCTTTTGGTGCAGAGCAGGTTTTTACAGCTTCTTTGGCTGAAAACGGCTGCCTGTGACGACCACAAAAGATGCTTTGAGAGCAGTAAGAGTAAACTAAAATGGTAAAAACCAATGGCTGATAGACGTTATAATGTTTGTAATCCACGAGACATTGTAAACATGATGAGTGGTGTTGATGAAGGGGCATTTGAACTCTCCAGCAACACTGCAGGCTGTTTAAAGGTCTGAGTTCAAACCAGAACACTTTCTTTCACATTTCCCGTAAAACGAGTACAATGTCGTTCTGCTCTCGCTTCCCTGAGATGACGTCAGTCTAAACCCTCACCTGCCTCTCAGAGAGCCTGATGTGAAAGACACGAGAGTCTGTGTGCTCCTGGCAGTGTGTAGCCTCCGAGGTAGAGTGACACCCAGTGGAGAAACAGAGTGACTCAGATTTATGTGTTTAAAACCCACAGCTGGGGAAAAACACTGCTTGTTTATGCATCAGAAACATGTACCTGCTGCTGATTGAACCTCAGGATGCTACATTCATTTTGTGAAAGTACTACAACAACTAAAGCAGCTGTGACCATGAGAAAGAGATCCAGTCCATGTGTTCGGCTAATTACAGCTGCTATAAGGACCCCTGGTGGCTGTAAAAACATCTTGCTTTTACTCACCATAACCAACATGACACTGAGGGAGGAGGGAAGGGAGGGAGAATGCGACTGGGGATTATTTAAAGGTGGATTATTGGGTCGGTTCCAAATAACAGGCTGAGTTTCCTAAAGTAAGGATTACCTAAACCTGTAATTAATGGCAGACTTCTGGCTTCCAGACACAAAATATACTTTACTGTAGATTATGAAATCGAATTACCATGGAGGGAATGTGGTAGTACGCACTGCAAAACAACATGCACAGAGAGAAAGAACATTTCAACACAATCAAACCCAAGTGGACGGCGGGGGGGGGGGGGAGCGTAACACGGTCCAATGCTCAGCCGATCACTCTGCTGGCAAATCAGTGCCCTCATCATGCCACTGGGAAGTCAAATCGCTTAAGAAATGTGATGCAACAGATTGAAATTGTCGGGAGCAAAAGAGAGCAAGAAGCTTTAATTAAAAATAAAACAAAGACTTTCTCAAAAGGACTCTTAAATCTTGAGGAGTGAAAAGTAAAAAAAAGAGTTTGGAGAGCTTCTCAAAAGGACAGAGAGCCGCCTGGTGGAGGAGGACGGAGGGGAGAACATACCGAACACGCCGATGGGCAGACTGCCGGGGGAGAGGGGGGGCTTCCTGTGGAGGAGGTGGTGCGTGCGGACGTAGTCCCGCAGGTTGGGGGCGCTGCAGGACACCCCGAGGGTCGAGGCGCTGAAGAGGCCGGAGCAGAGCGAGCCTGTGAGGAGGAGGAGCCCGGGGGGTGCAGGTTAGTTTACATCACACACCATGCCATTATTCAAATCAAATCCAAATGTATTATAGCCCCAAATCACAAGAAGTGCCTCAAAGGGCTGTACAAAGCAAACAAAGACAAACTTAGTGTGTGTACAGTTCAAAAAGGAAGTGCACGAGAGAGAGATACTGTACTTATTAATTCACTACATTTATGTGAAACGTTGAATGACTTGTTACTCTTAACTTGAATAACATGTTTATATGAAATATAAATCTTACTAATCTCAGTAGTACAAACAATATACAATATTTGTTGATTATACTTTTTAAAATGTTATTTAAAAAGTTACTTGAATAACATTTTGAACTCAGGACTTTTACTAGAAATGGAGAACTTTTAAACTACTGCGTTCAAATATGTAAACAAATCCGAGTACTTTTCCTACTACTAGTCCTGTGTTGTTGGTAGCTCTAAGGAAAACAGGAAGCAATCCATAATTATTTTTGACAGCGGCAAAAACCAACACAGTGGAAACTCCCGGGGGCAGGAAGTTGCCATCGTTGCCACTTTAACTGATATTGTTGTGAACTGGTTTATGATCAACTAAAAATATTCATGAACAGTCAGAAACAAAAAGCTGCCGTTTGTTTCTGGAAATGACGACATGGAAACGACAAGGTTTCCACAACAGAGACCACCTCTCTGCATGTTCATGTTCATGTATGAGTGCATATGTGTAAATAAAGGCAAGAGTGAGTGAACAAGTCAAAACAGAGCCTGTGTGTTTTGTGTGCAGAACGCAGCGTGACGAACAGGCAGAGTGGAAATGGGATTGTTTCAGACCCCCACTGTGCACAAACCCTCTGAATCTAAACAGCCAATCCTCACGAACTTATCATTTCATATTGAGTTAATAGACCAAGCAGTGGAGGAGATATCATCTTTGGAATTGCAGAAAAAAGACTCTAGTCCCGTTGTTCTATATACAGTACGAAGGTATTTAACGCAGCTCGCTAATAGAGGTCGTCTCTGACACCTGCTGCTGTCAGTGACCTGTGTGTGTGTGTGTGTGTGTGTGTGTGTGTGTGTGTGTGTATGTGTGTGTGTGTGTGTGTGTGTGTGTGTGTGTGTGTGTGTGTGTGTGTGTGTGTGTGTGTGTGTGTGATCACTCAGCAGCCTCACACTCACTATACATTACACACTGACAGTCTCCTCTCAAGATAAGCTTCAGTCGGAGCTCCTTTGATGTGACGGCTGCGTTCAGACGTGTGATAATTGAGTGACAGGATAAGCAACGTGTCTGCTTGATGTTTGTGATTGAACGTGATTGCATCAGAGTGTATTTACTTTAGATTGGAAAGGGCTTCCTCTGCCAAATATCCATTACTTTTAATTGAGTGTTTTATGTCTTAATTGCAAAAATAAAAAGAGATACTCTGCACTCGGAACAAAAAGCTATTTGCTGATTGAGAAACACAGTATTAAAGGTAGGGTAGGTAAGAATGGAGAAACCGGCTCGAGTGCGCTAGAATTTGAAAATACACAACCGGAGAAAATCTGCCACTTCCTTCAGACTTCCTTACAGAGCCCCTCCTCCAACACACACGAACGCGCACATGACCAATGAGGGCACGAGATAAGTTTGTGCCCAGATGGAAGGCTGACAGGCAGGTAGGCCATCCAGTTACTTTAGCCGGGCCGGCTCAGATGATTGGTCGTGCTTTTTACAGCGCCACGGCTTCCACAGATGATGTGTTTTTATGTATTTATTGTCAAAGCATTTAATGTTTTCATTGCTATCGGGATGTTAAGAGCATTCCATGGAATATAACAACAAGTGTATCTCGAGCCGGTTTCTCAAACTTACCTACCCCACCTTTAATTCTCCCTGTCACAGATTTAGTTTCCACAAAGTGACTCCCTGTTCTCACACTTTTCTCCACAGGTCTTGATTTAGATGACGGGCTCTCATGCTTGTGTAAGAGTCACCTACGTGTTAGCAGGCTGTTGAAGGTTTCATGCTCTTGGAAAGCGATCACACAGCAAAACAAGAGTTCTTAACAGGGGTTACATTTGTTAGGAAGTTAAATCAGTTTCAGGGACCAAGAGAGGAATTTAAGAAGACATCTGATGCAGCCGATTTGGAACTTTTGAAAGCATTTTAGCCCCTTTAAAACACTTCTGAATTTAAAGGGTTTATTGCGTATTGAGGAATAAGTCTAAACAGCATATTTGGTGCAAAATAGAGCATAGTTTTAAGATAATGTGTTTTCTATTTAAGGTTTAAATAGCAATAACCACTTAGACTGCAGGCCAATTCTCTAAATATGTTACTTCCTATATAAAGGATTGTGATTTCTAATAATAAACAATGGCAAACATCCGTGAACAGAGTCTTATGATTTGATCCTAAGAAGTTTTACGATTTACTTGACGAACCTTTAGAAACAGGAGACAGAAACACCTTCAGTATGTTCCCTATGTTGTCACTTAATGTCCTGCCTTGATATCGGTCTTTGAACGCTACGCGACAGCAGAGGCCAGCGGTTGGCTGTGAACGCAGCTCCCTCCGCTGACCTCTCGCCTACATAGTTAGGAGTCTGATCCTGTTTGTCTGCAGCTATGCTAAGCCTGGGGTGAAAGCTATGTGACCGACGGGAAACAAAAAGAAGTGACAGAGACAGGGAGGGGTGTTATGGAGGGGAAAGAACAACAGACCGAAAGATAAACAGACTGGAAGACTTGGGTGGGAGAAGTGATGAGGAGAGGATCAGTGATAACAGCTGGAGATACAATGTGCTGTAAGGTCAGTGTGTCTTTCTCCCCCCCCCCCCCCCCACACACAATGGAACAATAGGCCACATTTACAGTAATGGGCCACCAAAATATAAAGACTTTGGAAACAAAACGGCGTGTGTTGGAAAATATTAGATGCCTGGAAAGTAGGGGCAGTTTTTCAAGTAATGGACACACACACACACACACACCACACACCACACACACACACACAACCACACACACACACACACACACACACACACACACACACACACACACATCACACACACACACACACACAACACACACACACACACAACACACACACACACACACACACACACACACACACACACAACACACACACACACACACACACACACACACACACACACACACCACACACACACACACACACACACACCACACACACACACACACACACACCACACACACACACACACACTACACACCCACACACACACCAACACACACACACCCACACACACACAGGGTTTCCCACCTAAGCCACTGGCTGGTTTGATCTCAGGAGACTGGCGCGAACAGGACGAAGGGAAGAGTCGGTGAGACATGCTGCCTTTAGAGGATTGGCTGGGAGACGTTTCAGAGAGGACCTGAGGGAGAGCAGGGGTTAAAACTGAGAGGGCAGATACAGTAATTCAGGGACACAACGCTATTTACTTTAAAACCTTTAACACTTCTTCTGAAGGGCAATGCATTCAGCTCAGAAATAAAATATAATCCCTATTTTTCTGAATTTAAGAGATTGTTATTACAGAAATGTTAGGAAGTTGTCATGGAAAAATATATTTACTTTTAAATCCAAACAGAAACTCTGATTTTCTTTAGAGCTTGATTTCATGGACGTAGGAATGCACCACCTGTTCAGTTAAGCTAGTTACATTTTTGAAACCTGAGGAGATATTGTTTTAGAGTGAAAACAGATGGTATTTTATTAGTTTGTTGACTTTGTACAGGTATTTCAGGACCCATCCTGAGCTGCTGTATGCTATGTGTTTCTGCAGGGTTAATTAAACAGAAACAACATGCTTGCCTGATTTTAGATGGTGATCTGATATAAAAGCAGGACATTGTGTCCAGTTGCACTCACAAAATCTATAGGTTTCTCAGTGCTGGATTAAACCTTCCAAATAATCAAGTTCTTAAAGGTGGGGTAGGTAATTCACTTCAGAAACACTTGTTGTTATATTCCATGGAATGCTCTTAACATCCCGATAGCAATGAATACATTAAATGCTTTGACAATAAATACATAAAAAATTGTCATCTGTGGAAGCCGTGGCGCTGTAAAAAGCACGACCAATCATCTGAGCCGGCCCGGCTAAAATAACTGGATGGCCTACCTGCCTGCCAGCCTTCCATCTGAGCACAAACTTATCTCGTGCCCTCATTGGTCATGTGCGCGTTCGTGTGTGTTGGAGGAGGAGCTCTGTAAGGAAGTCTGGAAGATTTTTTTCTGCTGCGTACTTTCAAATTCTAGCGCACTCGAGCTGGTTTCTCCATTCTTACCCTAACTTTTAAGTGTTTAAAAGCTTCTCTTAATGTTTCTCTGCATTCTGAGTTAATAATCGTGTTACTCAAGAGAGTGCAAATATATTGTTTCCTAACTGAATGCATTACGATTCAGCACATCGAAGAGCAAAAAACTGCTCAATTAACCCCAAACTAAAACTACTAAGTGGGATAATACAAACGAAACACCCAGTGTGGTTGCATCAGCAGGACATCTGAAACACTTTGCGGTCTGGTACCTCCATGGAGCCTGTCTTGCGGTTGCGGATCATAGGAGACTTTCTCTGGATGTTGATTGGATCAGAGAGCGGAAGGGCCTGGTCCAGCTGATCCTGGGACAGATCCTCCAGACTGCCCTGATTGGGCTTCTTGTCTTGGTTCTATTGATCAAAGAACATGAGAAGGACATGATGTCTAAACACTGTTCTTATCTATTAAATTAAAAACACATGCAAATACCACTCGAGCTGTAGTACATGAGAATGTTTCTTCACACAGAGGTCACCGCAACGTACCGGCCTGCATACCAGTGTGGCAGAACATAGAGATTTGATTACGCATGGCGAATGCATGTTTCGACAAACACAAGTAGGATATATAATCTTTCCCTGCAGACCGATGTAATGTTTTTAGCGTGCAACGTCTTTAAATGTTTGGATGTATTTCCAAAAATAAGTTGTTTAAAGGTTTGTCGTCAATGTGCCGGAAAGAACTCACTTTTGAAAATTAAAACTAACTTTTTCATTAAAAAGGCATAAAATCTATAAATGAAATAATGGGGCACAACATTTCGTGCACATGTAAGCAACGAGAAGGAACTCTCCACTGGTGGCCATTTACACTTAACCAGCTTGGGAGCGCTGGAGAAATTGTATTTACATTTTAAACGACCACACACACATTAACTTAAAAGTGTTGCAGTGGTGGAAAGGCGGCCAACTTAAATTATAGAGGTGAGGTGTTCTGCATCTGCTGATATGAAAAAGTTGGAAATGCTGCACTTGTCCAAACCCTTGTCAAAACTAGAAAGGATCCTGATATTCTACGACATGTGATTTGCTCTTTTAGGATGTATTTAATGATTTACTTTAGATTGCTAATTAAGGGCCACTAAATATGTGTAACCCTGAAAAAGACAAACACACAGAAACACACACCTCAGAGGAGGCTGGGCGGAAACCGAAGCCAAGAGGAACGTTCTCCTCATCCTCACACCCTTTGACTCCTGGACTGAAGTGAATCTCAACGTGGAAACGCTCCTCTGAGGAAGGGTCCTGCTCACAACACAGACATAAAGACTTGATGACATCCATACAGAAGTGTAGTGTGAATGCTGAGGGACTTTTTGCTGCAGCTCTCTGCACCTTGTTGTTGTCTTCATACAGCATGATGACAATCTGCGTCATGTAGTTGAGTTCAGTCACGGCACTCAGGTAGTCCATGGCCTGTTTCCACTGCTGGTCCTTCTCATCCTGGCACTCAAACAAAAACACAAAGACAGTAAACACATGACGACATCACAAGAGACATACAGCACAAACAAGACCGACGAAAATATCAAATAAAGTCACGAAACACAACATACATCTGTATTTGTGATTGACAGAAGATAAAGATCTAGGATTCATTAAGGTTAGGCAATGTAGCTGTATCAATATTATGATATGGATTCAAATCTTCTAATATATATACATCATGATCTGGCAAATGTGTGTATAAAGTATACGACTCAACATTTATAATGCCAAATGATATGTTATCATATAGCAGCTCATTGCTGTAGAGTTAGTGGTGTATGACACGGCAGGTTACAAAGAAAAGTAATCACACAAAGGTTGCTTTTTAATGACTCATTTTCAATAGATTTTAGGACAGTTATTGAAGACTGCAATAAAATGTGTATGATAATATTTCTAAATTGTGTTAACATGCAGTACCATTCACCAGATCTGTGCTAACAGACTTAAAAAAGTGTCCGTCTTTTATAGACATTTATATATTGTTTTCTCCATCATCATCAGCAGACACAGGAAGATGAAGCAAGATCGCTACTTTAAAGGTCTCCTATTATACTGTTTTTGATCAATATATTATAGGTCTCAGATATATACAGAACATGTCTCTGATTGGCTCCAAACACCAAACAGATCATTGCAGCATTACCCATAATCCCCTCTGTTTCAGCCCTGTTTCCAAAGTGCTGATTCTCTGTCTGTTACTTTAGATGAAAATAAGGAGCCCCTCCCCACGCCCCTCTGAGAGAGATTTGGTTAAGAAAAACACATTAGGCGCTTTCACACCAAGTACTTTGCCGTACTTAGGGTTAGGGTTAGTTCATCAGAACTCTTTAGTTTAGATAGAGAGCAGATCGCGTTCACACCGGAATGAGTCGCTGAGGGAGGATTAGGCAAACTGGCAGGCCGCAAACCACTTCACGGCGTATACTGCCACCCAAAGTCCCCGGCCGGAAGTCCCCGGAGTTGGGGACTGTCTTCAGTAGAAGCTGCTGGGACTCCCAGCAGCTTCTACTGAAGCCTTCTGAGTAAATCGCCAGAAACGCCGACACCTCCTCATCTCCACCGCTCCCATGTTTTCTTTTGTGTTGCCATAAGTTAGTCTCTCTCCGTTTGTGCGCTGGGCTAATGCTAATAATGCTAATGCGAGGAAAATAAAATGGCGGCTTCACAAAACGTTTTGGGGAGTTTTACGGGGCGTGGTTTGCAATCCGCCCACCCAATCAGAAATGGGAACCTTTTTCTCCCACGAAAGTACCTGCTCTCTAGCAGGGACGGAAAAGGGGGTGGAAAGGTTCTCATTAACTAAGTTCTAGTTCCGGCTCTTTTTGGTGTGAACGCACATTTTCGGAACTATATCGGAACTATACTGCAAAAAGTACTCCGGTGGGAAAGCGCCTAATGGTGCTCTAGGAGGAGATTCAGGTGATAAGGTGGGGGGGGGGGGGGTTACCTTGGTTGGTGATTGGCTAATGGTCACACAAGCCAAAACATCGTTATGACATCATAAAGTGGCCAAAATCTGATCAGCTCATTTTCAGACAGGTTTTTATATAAATGGATCAGGACAAAAAGAGAGAGAATCTTTGTTCCTGAAACTTTCAGAGTCTCTTTCCACAGAGGGGACACATGGTGATGTAGAAGAGACATGAACAAGTGGATTTTGCATAATAGGTGACCTTTAAACTAAATAGTCAGAGAGATCAGACATACATCCAGCAGTCCTCCGTAGCGGAAGACGCTGAGCAGCGAGTGCACGTGGCTCTCGCTGGTGAAGTAGAGGCGTGTGCGCACGTGACGACCCGGAGACATCACGCCACGAGAATACCTGAAGACCAGCGGGAGAGAAATGAGACTCATCAGTCAACACAGCCCCAGAGAGCTCAAACACACACTGCATATATACGTGCTGAGTCTATATACATGTAAACATGTTTGTGTGTGCTTTGTGTGTCTCACAGAGGGTGCAGCTTGTTCACGGCCTCGTCCTCGTGCGTCCTCTGCAGGTCCAGCTGGATCTTCTTCATCAGAGGAACACAGTAAGCCTGAGCGATGTCCAGTTTCTCCGCTTTGCTGATGCCGTACTCCTGATATGAAAAAGAAAAAAAGCATTTCAACACTTTTATCGACTTCTTTTATACCTACTTAGTCATGAGAAGGAGTCTTCACTCAGCATATCTTAGAGCAGAAGGCTAGGAATGACACATTTATGCAGAAAACAAATGTATGCATAACAGCCTAAATGTGTTTTCTGTGACTGTGTGAAGTTATGCTGAAGCACTACTGGATCTTGCATTCGCCGATTCAACTGATTGAGTGTTTCGCTATTAAAGCTCTTTTTAAGGGCATACTTTATAGAACTTTTGTATTTTCTCTGCTGAGTCACACTCCCTTCTTTTGGTGCAATATGTTACTCTTTCCACAGGGATCAATATGGTTAGATTTTATGTTCAGAATTACCACTACGGCAATAAAAGCTTGAAATGATGTGCAAGACGCCGTCTGGTTCAATTCTCTAATGTCACCTATTTGTTAACATTCCTGACATTCCCCGACTCCTTTGGATAATTAAAGTACATAATTCCACCCTCTTAGTTTTGCTCTCTGGAATACAACTCTTACACAACATCAAGTTAACAGAATAATTCAGTAGTAGTGTTTGTTTGTTTGTAGCCTTTATTTAACCAGGTGAAAGCCCCTTGAGATCAAAAGATCTCTTTTTCAAGGGTGACCTGCAGGACATTAGTTACACATGTAACATGAAAACAACAGAACAACAATAAGGATGACATACAACATAATGTACAGGGTACAGTTTACAAACTCTATTTACAGTGACAGGTACCGTGAGTATCAAACAGCATGTCACCCAGCCGAGTTTTAAAATGATGCAGGGGAACCAAAGTGCTCATGTAAAGAAGTAGTCTAGACTAGAGCCATGACAATATTATGCAGGGCAACTACAACATGACTGTTTGCTATCCTGGCTCCAAAATGTACAAGATCATTTACAAAATCTAGTAGAATAAAAGCTAAAAGTAGCTGTAAGAAAATACTCAAGTGAAGCACAAGTCTCTCTAATTTGTACTCAATTACAGTACTTAAATAAATGAACTTAGTTACACACCACCACTGCATTTGAATATTGGACTCTGTACAGCTACGAGGCTGCATGGCATGCCAAAAGGGTATGCACTTTTATTTTCAACTGAATTAATACTTTAACTCTTACTCATATTTCTCCATGTATGCATCTGTTAAGTCATAACTACCTTAACAAAAGATTAGCAGCTTAGCTTAGGTAGATTGCACAGCAGAATACCCTCTCTTTTCGAGCTTAGAAAAACGATTAATCGATTTTAAATCGAAATCGCGATTTTAAATGTACCAGTCATTGTTAACCAATCAGAAGTGGCCCATGATAGAAGGTGATAGACAAATTGATCCAATCACCTGCCAAGTATTTGTGAAAGTGCCGGCCCTTTCCAGATGGCTTCCAATGGAGCTCTCCTAGATGCTTTGGTGAAACAAACCATCTGAGTCCGGTTAGTAATGCTCCATCACATGTTTCTATTACAGGGTGAATCTTAAACTGAAGCTTGACTTTAAAGGTCCCATGTCATGGCCATTTCCACTGACTATAATTCCATTGTTGAGGTCTGCTAGAATAGATTTACATTGTGCAATTTTCCAAACTCACATTGGTTTCTCAGACAGCATCTCTGTAAACTACGTGTATTCACTGAATTTCACTCTCTGCCTTTAACGGCTCGTTGTAGCTCCAATAGCTCCAATAGCTCCAGCCCCACCCTCCCTGCCGTGGAGGTGTGGTTTCCTTGTTTAGCGATACACATCGAAACACAGCCAAACTCATCCTGAGCACACACAAAGTCACAGCCGAAGTAAAAACAATAAGTGTGGCTTGATATTGAGTAAGAAAAGGGTTGATAAACGCAGAGAGAATGGGTCTGCAGAGAGAATGGGTCTGCAGAGAGAATGGGTCTGCAGTGAGAATGGGTCTGCAGAGAGAATGGGTCTGCAGAGAGAATGGGTCTGCAGAGAGAATGGGTCTGCAGAGAGAATTTCGCCACGATCCCAACTGTCTGTTATCAGCCTGCAGCGAGGGAGGAGAAATCAGCAGAGCTGCCTGCACTGAGTGTGTGTGTGAAGAAGTCCGTGGATTGGTCAATTTGGACCAATCAGCGGGGGCTTAACGTAACGGCTCCGCGGACGTAACGGCTCCACGGATTGGTCCATTTGGTTCTGGGTAACGCATGACCGTATCGCGTCATAGCTCTGGGCGCGGCTACTGGCCATCCTACGTCACAATACCCAGGAAGTAAACAATGGACAATGACGTATCTTCAACGAGGCGTTTTGGGGAGGTATTTTCTGTGTTAGTTTTACTCGCTACAGGGTGTACCTTGAGGGTTTTGACTCTGCAGACCGTTTACATGCATAAAAACCTTCATAACACACAAGGGGACGGGTAATAACCGGAAAAGCATGACATGGGACCTTTAAAGCAACCCAACGGAAGTTTCATGTAAGTTTAATTCTTTCACTCGTAGCTCGGGCTGCTAGAGACGGGAGCATGTTGATACGACCTTCCTAGCCGGAGATATGGCTGCATTTTACAATAAACTTCCGTTGGGTCGCTTAAAAACAAATATCGCAAATTGAATCGCAATATCTGTCAGAAAAATCGCAATAAGATTATTTCCCCAAATTGTGCAGCCCTAGTCTACAGGTAATGAAAAAACATGAGAGCTTTGGGACAGAGTTTGGTCCTCATGAGCTACTGTAGGAGAAGACAGTGGAAGACACCGGTTTGCTCTTTGTCTCCAAAATGGAGGATCTAGCTCGTTATTGATAATAAGGAAAAAAACAAACACATTTTTGATTGTAGCACTTGAAATCGTTTGTCTTATTTGGAGCTAATTACATGATTCTTGCCATTTTGAGTTTGTTTCCTCATTGATGATTGCCTAATCCTAAATTGCTTAGGATAAAAGCACCAGCTAGATGTAATGAAATGGCCTGAGAGACCTTGAGGAGAGCTACAGAGCTGAGTTTGGTCTTCATTAACCTGAGGGATGACGATGTCTGCCAGGGCGCGGGACAGCCTGAACAGCTCCAGCGTGTCCTCCAGTCCCAGCGAGGCGTTGTGCTGCGAGTCGTATTTGATGCAGTCGTAGATGTCGGGGATCTTACTGATATCGTAGCGGCCGTTCTTCATTCTGAAGTCTCTCTCCAGTTTGGACCAGCGCTGCAGCATCAGCTCCAGCGTCTCACTGTGGTACAGCTGCAGGTCTGAGACAAGAAGCACAGCAGGAGTGAGCCATGTTTCCCTGTTAGACAGGTAAATGTCTGGCAATGTTTACTTGATATTCACAGCCTGCACACATTTCCAGCTTCTGCCTGATTCATGCAGAGAAAAGCACATCAACTAAACTGGTAAAGCTGCCTTGAGCTAATACGCTGCTCAACTGCGGAACAAATTATAAGAAGCGCTAAGATTTTGGATAAGGCTACTTTGAATTTCAGGCTAAAGAACTACCTGTTAATTCATTTTCTTTTAAATTATATTTGTTGGTTTGCTTTGTTTCTATCATACGTTTCATTTTCTTCATATGTAATATGCCTATCACGGGTTCAAAATGGTGGAAAAAGCTCTGGGTTGATATCAAATTAAAAGTCTACACATCTTCCATCGCAGACTTAAAACCGGTTTCAACTGAACCTTGGCATACAAATATAAAAATGGTACTAGTTGTTTGGATAAAAGCATCAGCTAAATGAAATATAATGTAATGTTATGTAAAGCCTTTTGGTTAGGATATGTGCTTTAAAAATAGATGTGCCCTGCCTTGACTAAACCACAGATTTTGGCTTTAAAGAACATTTTGATAATCGTTTCTCTAAATGCAGCTGAATACTTTTCTTCTGTATGAAGGTAAGGCAGGTTCACCCTACCTGCAGACTTGGGGTCTTCCAGTCTTTTGCGGATCTGTGAGTTGAGGCTCTGGATGAGGGCGTACACTTTGTCACAGGTTTTGACCGGATTCTGTATGATCTTCATCGAGTTCACCAGCGACGGGCTGCTAGTCGGGGCCAACTAGTACACAGGGAAACAGACAAGATGTTAACATCACATTATACTGTTGAATACAGGCAGACAAAAATACTTTGAAACCTTTAGCACATGTAGTTTGAAACGTCAGCTTCTGTATTAATGTTTGCCATCAGAAATAATATTACTTTTATTATGTCTGAGAGACGTCACTTCTACCCTGCTGTAGTAAAAGAGGAAGAACAATAGGAGCTAGATAAGAAGTAGAAAGACTTTATTATACCCAGGGTTCATACACTTTTTCACCAATTACTTTTCCATGACCTTTACCTCATTTTCCATGACCAAACATATTACATATACGAGCAGTCCATTATCAGACAGGCAAAACAAATGGTGTCTGATCCCACCCACATACTCCACCAATAATACCAGCTCCTACCTTCTGGTAGAAGATTCAGAGTTCCCAAGAGCAGGCTGAACCGCTATGTGCACTCATTCCTACTTATGTCCATTAAGCTTCTTAACATTCACATGAAATGAAATGTAGTCAAATGTAATGAAATGTACTTTTTAAATGTTGGCCATGAGGGTAGTGCAATAGGTCGCCATTGTCAGTATGTGCGTCTGTGTATTGTGTTTGTTCAAACGGTGTATGACTGATGATATGTGTATGTCTCTTAATGTCCACTATGTTTGTATATGCATGTATGCTGAACTGCAGGACGGAGTCCAGAACAAATGTCCTTACGGGGACAATAAAGTATATCGTATCGTACCACTGAAACATTTTTATTTTAACATGGTAAGCTGGAAAATAAGGTCTGCATATGAAACATGTCGTGCCTACCTAAAACAAATCAAATAGTAGGCTTACTAGCTTCTACACGCTAAAGCAACTTAAATCTCTCACCAGCAAAACACCTCGACAGTTAAATGCCATTTTACGTTTCATTACTATACCATACAGTATGTATTATCATTATAGTATTACTATGTCTGTGATTAGATACAAATATAAATTATATTTGATGCAACTTTAGTTACATTTCCATGACTTTTCCAAAAATATTGTTTTCCATGACTTTTCCAGGGCCTGGAATTTGCATTTTGAATTTCCATGACTTTTCCAGGTTTTTAATGACCGTAGGAACCCTGTATACCAAAGGCAGATAACATTTACTGCCTTGACACTTTCTGGATGTATTATTCCTCTGGCTTTAATCTCATCCCAACATCATATAGGAAGTAAATTACAATGAGATTGACATTTCTTGGAATAATTACCACTTCACAAAGTTTAAACTGAGCTTCCTGGGGAACATTGAAGTATTTACCTTATCAAATAAAACATGTTTTATATTTCCTCTTCCCCCTCTCAGCCACAAACCTTCAGATAGTCGTCCTCTGTGAACTCCTGGCTCCTCTGCATGATCTCGTGCAGTCGGGCCTTCACTTTCTGTTGGCAGTCCGTCAGAGAGTCGCTGTCGCTGTCCAGCAGACCGTTCATGTTGGCGCTTTTCACCATCTGGACCAGGATGGGAGTCAACTCTCCTTCCAGAGCCAGCAGACCCTGAAGGGAGACCAGAGAAGTGGTGAGTAATGTGTGGACTTTCTATTTAATCCATTTCCTTTGAGAAAATGAGATACATGTTAAAGTTACAGTCAAGCAGAATGAGGGTCCATTACTTTCTGTAAAATAACTTTAAACCTTTCTTATTGTATATCTGCAGCTTTCTAAAATGTTACGTCTTATTTACAGACAAAAGCCTGTTTTCATTTAGTGAATTTACAGGGTTTTTTTAAAGCTTAACAACATTTTATTTTCAATATAGTTATTTTTCATTCTGCACAGCTTCTTATGTAACACTTTATTTTTTCTAGGGTTAGGGTTAGAGAGGGACATTAACATATATAAGAGTTCATCAACATAAAATGAATTATTATAAGTGATTATATATACTAAAGTTAATCTAAAGTGGAATAATTTGCTTGTTTTAATTTGCAATGAAAATATGTTCTATATTTTTGTTGTCTTATATCAACACAATATCTTTTGAAAACACAAACAAACTTTACAGGCATTGTATAGACAAAATAAACCAAACTAAAAATCAATCCAGAAAATAATATAATAGTTACAAAATGATAATTCCAACTCTGACGTTGTGTGTCCACCAGACTACACATTAAATATTTCTTCAATGATGTCTTCACTGTAATAAGGCAGAAACAATGGATCACAAGCATCCAAAGATATACTGTGTCCCTTTCAGAGTTTCCCCAGTAAGTGTATCATTAGTTACAGTATGCACAGGATAAAGTCTTTTTACCTTTGCGAAAGCAGCGGCGGTCATCTGCACCCGGCCTTCGTCTGAGGCGTAGATCTTCAGGTCGTGGCGGTACGTGCTGTGCAGACGCAGGAGGCCGCAGCCTGGAAACCCTGCATAGTCACCTGGAAGATAACGTTCAGAGAGGAGCTTTATAACGAGCTAACTGTCCCAATCAAGAGATAGCTGAGGCAGGGAAGTAGTCGGAGGAGAAGAGTTGAGTGAACCCAAAAGTACTAAGGATTTACATTTTTTTTTTTTTTTAAAGGGACACAGTGCACCTGTGCAGTTCAAATGCATTGCTTTGTAAGCTTTTGACATGGCTCACTTCACTTTAATGTGAACAGAAATTGTCTGATTAAGCTAAATATAAATTGTAGTGAAAGTGAAGTGAACAGATGTTGAGTTAACCCCCAAAAATTACTGAAGGCAGCTCCCATGAAGATGATGTACTTTAGAGAGATACTTGAAGAGGGACAGTAAGTATTGTGACATGTTAAATATACACTGAACAAAAATATAAATGCAACACTTTTGTTTTTGCTCCCATTTTTCATGAGATGAACTCAAAGATCTAAAACATTTTCTATATACACAAAATAACCATTTCTCTCAAATATTGTTCACAAATCTGAAAAAATCTGACAATTAGAAAATTAGACAGCATGATTATTGCACAGGTGTGCTTTAGGCTGGCCACAATAAAAGGCCACTCTGAAACGTGCAGTTTTGCTTTATTGGGGGGGTCTGGGGGGGTCCGAAAACCAGTCAGTATCTGGTGTGAGGGGTAGGGTTAGAGTTAGGGTTAGGGTAATGTTGTGAATCGAGTGGCCTGTGTTCGTCGTCCATAACATACGCCTGCCCATACCATAACCCCACCACCACCATGAGCCACTCGATTCACAACATTACCCTAACCCTACCCCTCACACCAGATACTGACTGGTTTTCGGACCCCCCCAGACCCCCCCAATAAAGCAAAAAGCACGTTTCAGAGTGGCCTTTTATTGTGGCCAGCCTAAGGCACACCTGTGCAATAATCATGCTGTCTAATCAGCATCTTGATATGCCACACCTGTGAGGTGGGATGGATTATCTCGGCAAAGGAGAAGTGCTCACTATCACAGATTTTTTCAGATTTGTGAACAATATTTGAGAGAAATGGTTATTTTGTGTATATAGAAAATGTTTTAGATCTTTGAGTTCATCTCATGAAAAATGGGAGCAAAAACAAAAGTGTTGCGTTTATATTTTTGTTCAGTGTACTTAAATGAATGTACCTGAAGGAAGTGGATGCATACTAAGATCAAACCACACTGATGCTTCATGCATTTTTCTTTAGTGTGCAGCCTGGTGTTATATCCAAAGCTTCCTTGGGTTATCATGCCTTGTTTCACATTAAAATATCTGATGGGGACTTACCCCTTTTCTAGTATCTAATCCAGGTTGAGCTGGCTTTCATCAAGCAAAAAACAACATATCCAAGAACTCATGAAAAGACAAATTCAGTAGGATTAGTGTGAGATGATCCGCGTTAGCAGTCACTTTTGGGGCCTGTATATGTCTGTGTTGCTGCAGAGGATCATCTCACACACGACACACAACCCACAGCACTCTCAATGGAGGACAAACAGCACGAGCCGCAGGGTGAAATGAATCTAAATCATGATGAGATTAAGGCGAGATCAGTGGGACGAACGCTCAGGATGAGAAAGGCGTGGAACAGCGGTGATGTCCAGGAAACCTCTCTCTTACCAAACTCAATAGGGGACTCACAGCCAAGGGACCGGTTACCGGCTGGTAGTTTACACAGAGCAACAACAGGTAAGAAGAGAAGAGCAGAGTTAATAGACACAACTTGTGGTGGAAAAAGAAAGTATAAAAACAGTGGCTGAGATGAGAAAAGGCTGCATACCATTTCATCTCATTTCAATTGTGCTTCAGGCTGTTTTTCTGTGCAGTTTAGATGTTGTTTGCATGCACAATAAAACAAAGAGTCTGAGGGAAAGAAGGTTCAACATCTAAATGGCAGAGAGGTGTTGCTCTGTTACAAAGTGACGGCGGAGTGGCGCAGTGTGCGTTGATCATCAGATCAAGGGGGCGTTGGGGAACTCCAGTTCGAAACCCGCTCCTGTGGGCATTGTCCACAGCACATGACTGTTACATGTGTGTAATGTGTATTTGTAAAGCGCTTTGAGCTCTGTAAAAGCGCTATAATAAATATAAGGAATTATTAAAGTGATCGAGAGTAAGAAAGCTTTATGTAAGGAGCTGGTTTGTCCGCCTTGTATTTCACTCAGGGTTACAGGTGTGTTGACTCTTTTACAGAATGAAAGAGAAACTCCACCCTTCATCTTTCCATTGAGGAAAAGCAGCGCTGTATTTGTGTGTCATGATGCACAACACCCAACATCACCAGGGTGTGGACAGCATGTTGCACATACATGTCAGCTTGAGTCCTTTTGTTCAGCGTTATATCTTTGATATATTATCCTACAATGACACTGTGATGTAAATACTGTAAATAAAATATAGATGGCAGTATTATCAGTTCCTGATATAAAGACACAGTTATCTCTATATGTTTACCTTGTAGAAGTGCATTAAGATTAGAATGAGTTATTGCTTTGTAATCAGCTTAATTTAACTCTAAAGATATCACTGCTTAGATTTTTGTTTTTGTCTTCTATTTGAACACACACACACACACACTATGTATACATCACTTCAGGGGACATTACATTGACTTACATGCATTTCCTGGAGACTTATCCTAACCTTAACCATAACCAACACATGCCTAACCCTTAACCTTACCCTTAACCTAATCCTAAACCTAACCAAGACTTCACCCTAAAATGAATGATTCCCCTCATGGGGACCTCCATTATGTCCCCATAAGGGAGGCGAGTCCCCACACGTGACTGTGTAAACAGATTTAGGGCCCCACAAGTATAGTAATGCTTGGCCACACACACACACACACACACACAGAGAAACCACTGACTGACGGGAAATTCCCTTATTTATTGCTTCACATGTACAGTCCAAATAAAGTGCTGACTCATTCTAATGTGGTGCTTTCACAACGTTCAATAGGCTGAGAAAAGGGCTTAAAGAAAAGAGTATTAAAGAGGCTGTTATCATCATTGAAAGATATTCTTCTTTTGTCCATATCAGATTTCTATTGAAAGACTATTGAATCAGATCTGTGCCAACTGAGTTTTATTTCATCTCAGGTATTTATTTGTGCTTGATCTTATTGGCATCAATAAAAAAGACGGGCTTCAATGCCCAATATCGTTGGTCTCGTCAAAAATGCATTACAATTTTGCAACATGTCTAAAAATCTTTGCAATTACTGAACGAATACAGTCCAAATAAAGACCCTGCACTAAGTGGGAACATGTGTCCCGCTGACTCCAAAATGACCTCCACCTCGAGCCTCTCTGATAGGCTGTATGTCAGCTACGCAGTGTTAACATTGTTCTGTATACGATGGTGCTTTCCACAACTGAAAAGAACGGCTAAAATTAAACTTTTACGAGCAAAGGTACACATGGGAGGACAGGCTGTGCTTTCTGATTATCATTTCAACTGACGTAATGTGTGTGCATTTCTGAATGTCAATTGTTGCCGTGTGTGTGTGTGTGTGTGTGTGTGTGTGTGTGTGTGTGTGTGTGTGTGTGTGTGTGTGTGTGTGTGTGTTGCACGATTAGGGGAAATAATCTAATTGCGATTTTTCTGACAGATATTGCGATTCGATTTGCGATATTTGTTTTTAAGCGACCCAACGGAAGTTTACTGTAAAATGCGGCCATAACTCCGGCTAGGAAGGTCGTATCAACGTGCTCCCGTCTCTAGCACCCCCACAGCCCGGGCTACGAGTGAAAGAACTTACATGAAACTTCCGTTGGGTTGCTTTAAAGTCAAGCTTCAGTTTAAGATTCACCCTGTAATAGAAACATGTGATGGAGCATTACTAACCGGACTCAGATGGTTTCACCAAACCATCTAAAGCTCCATTGGAAGCCATTTGGAAAGGTCAGGCACTTTCAAAAATACTTGGCAGGTGATTGGATCAATCTGTCTATCACCTTCTATCATGGGCCACTTCTGATGGTTAACAATGGCTGGTACATGTGGAGCACAGCACTTCTGATTGGTGTGCAGGCTTTGCAATTTTCAGCCCTTGTGTGTGTGTGTGTGTGTGTGTGTGTGTGTCTGTGTGTCTGTGTGTGTGTGTGTGTGTGTGTGTGTGTGTGTGTGTGTGTGTGTGTGTGTGTGTGTGTGTGTGTGTGTGTGTGTGTGTGTGTGTGTGTGTGTGTGTGTGTGTGTGTGTGTTTTTTCAGTAGGTACGTGATTGCTTTCTTTGTGTGCAAGTGTTCAAAAAACTCTCAATTTGTTCCCATCTCATGGAAGTTTGAAAGGTGGATTACACACAATAGAAAGTCAGGGAATTTAATCGATTTTAGAAAATTAGAAAGTATGTAGGAAGTTCCTAAATAGTTCAGATGACAATCAAATACTGGAGTGTTTTCTATAACATGTTTTTGTATTGATTTGTAGTTTGAAGCCGTTTCTTTTCATAGTAGCCAAATTGTACGAGGATAAGCATTTTACACTATGGAAGAAAGAAATAATCACAGCAACGGCAGAAGGATTTATAAGTTCATATTTTAGGTAATGTGAGTGCAGTGGGTACCTTGACCTCCAGGGTACATGCAGCGGAAAGCTCTGCCCAGCTCCTCAGCCTGAACCCGGCCTGCAGGCGTCAGCTCGCCCCCCCACTTCAGCACCAGCAGCAGAGAGGGGCCGTCCTTCTTAGAGTCTGAAATACAACAAAGTAAAGTTATTGATATCCCTATAAAAAATATACTTTAAGCAACTTCAAAATATTTGCATTTGTTGGACGGCTGTAAAGGACAAACACAAAACATCCAGGTTACCATCAACCAGCATCAAAGTGTGCAGGAATCTTGTGTTAGTCTAACGGTACGTCCACACTGCAGCTTTAAACAAATCTTCAACCGCTTCCAACGCTTCTCTGCCCATTGACTTTGAATGGGGATGACGTCACTTTGCCTCGCTTGTCGCCGAACTGCATTGTGGGGGAGCGAAGCGAAGATTTCCAGGATTTTCAGGATTCAAAAGTTGAGCAATGTTCTACTTTTGAAGCTGAGCTGGAAGCGTCAGCCAATCAAATCCCATTTATGCAAATCTGACAGTAGAAGCGCTAGCCACGGAGGAACCAGGCATGGAGGGAGGTGGCAGAGACAGTGGGTGAAACTGGTAGGTTTTCGCCTGTTTGGGGAGTTTATATATATATATATATATTGCTCGCATAAAATCCCCGGGGTTTTTTGCTTTGTATGTCGGGGGCGGGAGATTCATGTGATTGGTTGTTGGTCTCGTTGCTCGCAAAAAATCCCCAAGCTTTCAGACACGCCCAGCTCCAAGATTTTCGAAAAGCTGCAGTGTGGACGTACCGTAAGAGTTACTTTAACACAAGATTCCTGCTTAGTTTCCCTTCAATAGTTTTGTTTTATCCATTTACGTTGATGTTACCATCCCAGGATGCTTTAATAGTTTGACTTGTTTCCTTATTTTTTCACAGTTACAGGACACGTTAACCAATCTGAAAACTACTTGTTAGAAATTGAATGATTTATTTCTTTGACAAGCATTAATTAGCAAAATAACATTTTAATATCATGTGTTCATAGGTTTTTGGGGGATTCATATCATCATGTGTGTGTGTGTGTGTGTGTGTGTGTGTGTGTGTGTGTGTGTGTGTGTGTGTGTGTGTGTGTGTGTGTGTGTGTGTGTGTGTGTGTGTGTGTGTGTGTGTGTGTGTGTGTGTGTGTGTGTGTGTGCACGTGTACCTTCTTCTTCGCTGGAGGCTTTAGGTTGTCCGTTACGCAGGTATGTCAGCTGGACTTTCCTGTTTATACCTGAGAAATGACCGTACCTAGCAACACACACACACACACACACACACACACACAAACACACAAACACACAACAAATGTTAATACACACATATAAGTCGGACAAAGAGTGCACACAAAAACACAGGAAGAATTTATCCCAGCTTAAAGAACTTTGTTTAATATCTAAAATCAAAAGTCTTTTTTTTTTAAGTTCAAGAGAGACAGAAAAAGGCAAACACCTTTTTCGAAAATATCACACAATCAAGTAACAGTATTAGAAAATGTTTTAATGATAACTTGTTTTGATCTGCTAAATTGTTCAGTTTGATTAAAGTGTGTAATTGCATCTTTTCAAGTGTGTGGGTGTAAGAACAAAAGAGAAAGAGAATCTGTTTTAAAAATGCTGCAAGGTCGAAATCAAAGCCAATTTCAAATCTGTTATTCTGAATTAAGTCACACACAGAGACTTATCAATTATCAGGAGCTTTGCCCCTTACACTGTGCTTTAGGAAGAATTTGGCACATCCTGCAGACTAATGAGCGCACAGTGTTCTCTGAGAGGAGTCGCAGTGACCCTGAAGCAGGATAAATTACTCTGAACAGCTGACTCACACTTACACACACCCTCACTGTGTGAGGTAAAGCTTAGTGTTTGTTTGCATCAATTAAAATATACATTTTGTGGCGCTTCCTGCATCGCTGTACAACACAGACTCACAATTATTACTATTCATACATATAATTAGCCGGAGAAGCATTCTAGATTTTCTAATTAACTTCAGCCGCTGGAAAATCACAGTAATAAAACATTTGAAATGGTTTTCCCTATTGTTTCTAACTAATTAAAAATGAATGTATTATTTCATTATAATGCAAATATTTATAAAAAGATTATATTGTATAACCGTCTGTACGTTTTAAATCCAATGTTCTATTAAAATTAAAAAAATGTATGAATACAATTCTTATTATCCGGAATTTCTTGATGATTTAACTTATTCTTTTTACAGTGTTTTTTTTTATATCAGGATGATAATATTATTACCGTCGCTAAGGAGGTTGTATTTCCCGTTTGGTTTGCATGTGTGTATGAATGTTAACGCTGTGGTGAGAACAGCATGCACACAAAGTCTCACAGCACACTGAATTACACAGTGAAGTCATCAGGGACATTTGACTGTGCTAACAATGAATGGGTGTTAATAAAAATGATACACGCACAAAACGTTAGGAATACCTTTCAAAATATTTTATACTATCTTTCATCGTGCACAAACTTTGTATAAAACTAATTGTTACCCTGTTTGTACACTCGTGGGGCTGGTAGGCAAACTTTTGGTCTATTGTATTGCTTAGTTATGAAGGTTTTAGCAAATAAAACAAATACCTCAATGTTTTATTTCAGACATTAAGGTTATTTGAATTTGACCTTCGGTAAATTGAGAAGTCATTTACCTGAAAGGTCCCAGGATTTGCCCCATCACTTTCCAAAATAGTCATAGATATATTTGCTTTAATTGCTTTTTTGTTCTAATAAAGACAAATGTGCTGCCAGCTGCCTCATATACAATTTTAAAGGGTCCGATAATGCTATTCATAATTGTATTTTGTGCCTCTCTGTGACATGTCTCCATGATTTAATGTTCAAAAAGCTCTTTATTGTTCTCGTACTGCCTGTAAGCACCTCTTTTCACCCTATCTCTGCTCTGATTGGTTAGCTGGCCAGCTCTGTTGTGAATGGTCGGATGTCCCGCCCCTTAGCCTATCACATACAATGCTCTGTTGTGATTGGTCAACCGCTTAAAGATGTCCAGCCCCTTAGCCTAAATGTGTTGAAGCACTAGCTAATAGAGGCATGAGTATTAAATAGTGATGCAATTATGTTAAGGAAGTAAACAATGGAGTCCAATGGAGGCGTTTCAGGCTACTCTCACAGGTATTAAACAACAGGTATTCATAACATTTTGTACACACAGTCGAAGACTAAATTAAAAGGAGGGTGGTAAAACCTCATCCTTTAAAGTGAGGAGGGAGAGGGTGCGTACTGAATGTCATTCAAGCTGGAATTCCTTTTGAAGAGAAGGAAGAAGGGAGGGATGGGTGGGTGGGCCGGAGAAAAGAGAGACAGAAAAGGGAAGAAAAGAGTTAGGGACTCAAGAGAGGGGGAGGTAGAATCAAGGTTAACATGTGTGTGTGTGTGTGTTGTGTGTGTGTGTGTGTGTGTGTGTGTGTGGTGTGTGTGTGTGTGTGTGTGTGTGTGTGTGTGTCTGTGTGTGGAAAGATGAATGAACCCTGAGGAGTGTTTACACATGGTGGATGAGAGTGGGTGATGAATGACAGGAAACAGGAGGATAATGACTATTGTTTGTGTGTGTGTGTGTGTGTGTGTGTGTGTGTGTGTGTGTGTGTGTGTGTGTGTGTGTGTGTGTGTGTGTGTGTGTCATGTGAGACGTCACTCACATCTCCAGGACCGTCTTGAGTTGCTCCAGTTTGGATTTCTTCTCCTCGATCTCACAGTCGTTGTGCTGGACGAGTTCAACGAGCAGCAGGCGGGCGATATCCAGCACTTCCTGGAAACACACATTATTCTTTTATCTGGCTCTTATCGTTTTATTCGTTTACATATCAGACTAAAACACACACTGAAACCTTTGCTAACGCCCTGATTGAAAACAATGCCAAAGAGAAAGACTTGTCATGTATACGATGACAGGATAAATGCAGGGTTTGGTATAAATATTTAGACAACACTATAATGGTTTCTGCTCCATAATAATAATTAGTAAAAAGCAACCGTATCATCTGAAACCCTTCATTAGTCTTGTTAGGATTCAGTCACAATCTGCCAAAAGAACAACAGAGGAGGGGGAGCGTGGGAAAAAGAAAGGCTGAGGGATTAAAATTAATCTCACTCACTTGGAGCTGCTTTGGTTTCTTCAGTTTTAGCTTTCCTGACTTGTAGCTTCCGTGCTTCTCAAACAAATCAAAGAATCTGAGCAAGACAAGCAGAATAAAACAGCAGAATAAGAAGTGCAGTTACATCAGATCAGGGCAATATCTTAAAAATGAAAACATATTTGATAATTTGATTAATCTCTAAGAATGAAGTGGGTAATATGAGACCGGTTAGGGTACATGCAGCAGGGAGAGAAGGCAGTTCAATGCTGACATATAATCCATGTTTGTTATCACCTGCGCTCTTCTGTAAAATAAATAACTTAGTTAACTATGTATGCATATTGAGTCCATTGAGACTCTTACATTTTAATCTTCTAATGCAATATCTTAAAGTGGACCTATCACGCTATTTTTAGGCAATAGCATAGGTCTCAGATATATACAAATATATAAAAAACATGCCTATGAAGTGTTTTCCTCAAAATACCAAAGATCACCCATTCTAGCCATGCCTCATATCCCTCTATTTCACTTCCTGTTTCAAAGTGCTGATTTGGGTATAAAGCTTTAAGAAAAATGGAGGGGTCTGAGCTCATGCGGGACCCGGCAGCTACTGTCTAAACTAAATGCTGCCGTGATGAAACGCCATATCATGGATTATCAAGGATCTGAAACAGTATGGAGCTCAAAGGCTTTCTCTCTTGCCGGTTATACCACAAGGTGAGTTCCTTTTTACTTCCTGCTTCTTCACACACATGCTCTCCAGTACAGGTTAGCTCTGAGTGTTAGCGATGCTAATATAAACACCGACCACATTACGTCCAAAACAGTCGGGCATTGTTTCTGATAGCAACTTTCTGATGGTGCCGTGGGTCCACATTTCAGATATTACGTCATATCGGACGCAAATCTGGATCAGCTCCGTTGTTCCCCCGTTTTTAGAGATTTGGGTACGGAGGAAAAGAGAGAGGGTTTTATTTCCTGATGCTGCGTGAGTTCCCTGACTCACCGGGGACACATATTATGTATAAAAGACATCAAAAAGTGCATTTTGCCTGATAGGTCCCCTTTAAAGTAAAAATATTCGTATTTAATGTTGAAAATAAAGAATTACACGCACAATAGACCCAGTACTTTAAATATATGCTGACAGAAAGAGGGAGATACATCTGAATGCTGGAGCAACACTTAAAAGAGACTTACAGAGGATGTCTGACCTCCATTTTCATCTTTTGTTTTGGCGTGCGATCTCCATGGCGGATGATGGCGATGACACAACGCAGCTCCATCCTGAAACAGGCAACTCAACTCAACAAAAGTCCACTATAATCATACTACTTTAAATCAGCGTAAAATAAATGTTGCATTAATCGCATGTTGTATTATATGTGTAGTAGTCCCCATATCAACATATTTCCCAGGACTTTTCCAGGCTGCAGACATCTTTGTTCTTAGGTACGTACATGGTCCCTGAGGTTGTGGGGACGATGGGGATGTCTTCAGCCTCCATGGGGATGGACCAGGGGATGTGGAACTGAGGCGCTAACTCCCTCATCACCATGTTCCTGGTGAGGCAAGGAATAACAGATGTAAAGAATGTAAGATTGGAGAACATTAAGTAAATATTAAAAATGGAAAGGAATTAATACAAAACAAAAGTTAGCATGGCATTCATTCGGCAGGCTCCTCGTCCTCGTGTGCAAATCAGTTTTATAAAGATATTCTGCTTAAAAGTTGCTTCTGAGTTTTTAAACTGGATATTGTGTATTCAAACAATTGCATTAAAATAATCAAAAAAAGATAATACAAACTTCAGTCAATCAAAGAAATACCTTTTCCAACGACGAGCTTACAAAGATAAAGAAAGTCAGTGATTATATTATATTTATGTTTTCTGTTTCATGCCATGAAGAAGTTTCTGCGATTATAAGTGCTGGTCAACATAAAAAAAAAAACACATAAATATGAGTTTGTAAAGAATGCAATTAAAAAATATATATGTTATAAACCTACCCCAGGACTTTGGCACAGTCGTCGTAATACTTCATGGAGTTTTTGACGAAGCTGAAGCCGTTAACGTCACAGACGTACGAGTGTCCGTTGGCTCTGAGCAGGTCGAACCCACACACCGTTTGCTAAAAAACACACAAAAAAATGTTTTAAAGGGGACCTATCATGCAAAATTCACTTTTTGATGTCTTTTATACATAAATGTGTCCCCGGTGTGTCGGGGAACTCACGCAGCGTCAGAAAATAAAACCCTCTCTCTTTTCCTCCGTACCCAAATCTCTAACAACGGGCCTACAACGGAGCTGATCCAGATTTGCGTCCGATATGATGTAATATCGGCGGCGGACTCACGGCACTATCAGAAACATTGCTATCAGAAACAATGCCCGACTGTTTTGGACGTAATATGGTCGGTGTTTACATTAGCATCGCTAACACTCAGAGCTAATCTGTACTGGAGAGCATGTGTGTGAAGAAGCAGGAAGTAAAAAGGAACTCACCTTGTGGTATAACCGGCAAGAGAGAAAGCCTTTGAGCTCCAAACTGTTTCAGAGACAATCCTTGATAATCCATGATATGGTGTTTCATCACGGCAGTATTTAGTTTAGACGGTAGCTGCCGGGTCCCGCATGAGCTCAGACCCCTCCTTTTTAAAAAAAAAGCTTTATACCCAAAATCAGCACTTTTGAAACAGGAAGTGAAATAGAGGGATATGAGGCATGGCAGAATGGGTGATCTGTTTGGTATTTTGAGCAAAACACTTCATAGACATGTTTTTTATATATTTGTATATATCTGAGACCTATGCTATTGCCTAAAAATAGCATGATAGCTGCACTTTAAAGTACATTGATACAATGCATAGCAAAGTTAGCCAATATGTGCACAGGTAAACAATGTAGACTGTTTTTATTTGAAGAGAGGCCCTATTATGCTTTTTTGGTGTTTCAAAAGTCACACAAAAAAAGGATTAAAAGTACATTTAGCAATGTAAGCCAATATGTGCAAAAGTAAAAACTTCATTCTGTTCTTTTCTGTGTTTTGGAGTTTCCCTTTCCTGTGTTATATAGGTTTGTGTGCATGTAAATGGCCTGCAAAGGCTAACATCCTAAAGTTCACACACACTCGCACACTGACTTAAGTTTGTCTTGAAAATACACTTGTATAAGGCGCCTAAGTTGTGGCATATTATCTATATTTAGACCTTCCCTTTGGGTGCAGTTTTGTAACCTTATATATCTGCAAGTATTAAGCATTTAAACTGCAGCAACATAAAATATCTCTTATTTCTGTAACTGTATAAATGTTATTTAGTAACAGTTTAGTGTCCATGAGGCTCTTAAATGCTACTAGAAGCTTTTCTTTGTTTACAGAAACATTTTCTATGTGCGCTCATTATTTCTTAAGTTGTTATATTAAGAGCTGTACTTACAACACAAAGGACTTATGAACTATTGATTTGCTGGGCCTCATGCTGTTGTTTTATTTGTTTGTGGGAGTCCGGTGTGTTTTCTGAAAACACAGAGTCATCAGTAACGAGCTGTAGTGTAGGCGGTAATAGAGCCACTACTAGGAATCCTCCCTTTTGATTAATACTTGCTTCAAGCACTGTACAAAGTTAGTTAGAACAATTTGAAAGCAATAATTATCATGGCAGTAGGCTTTTAGAAAAAAATGCTTCTGGCAGCTCCCATGTTCCAGGAAATTGAGTATTTAGTTAGCAACGGAAAACAATTCAATCGGTCTGCAACTGTCCGTGTTTTGAATATATTTTCTCCCTGCTTTAAATTGGATTCAACAAACTGAAAGCACATGCTCTTAGTGTTTCATGCAGCTAAACACAAGGTGATGCAATGTTTATGTCAGCTTCAAGTGGATAACTGCACACAAAGAGAAACCCAGAGGAGCTTCTGAACACCAATGGCTTGTGAAGCAATACAACAGTAAACAACCAAAGGGTATAAATAATGCAGTTTTCAGGAATAATTGGAGGTTTCCTGGCAATTTCAAAGCTGCTTTATTTGCTTCCCTGCACACTATTCTGCACTACATGCTCTACTCAGTGTTTCTCAAACTTTTTCATACCAAGAACCACTTAACCAATAAAATAACACTTGCGGACCACCTAACTCAGGGGTGGCCAACCCGCGGCTCTCGAGCCGCATGCGGCTCTTTGCCTAGTTTCATGCGGCTCTTCAGTTCATATCGAATTTTATATGTGTGAGTTTGGGGGAGAGACACTGACTCCTGACTAGTGTTGCACGGTGTACCGATACTTGAAAGGTACCGCGACACCCTGCCGTTAAAAACGTTACGATTCCTCCGTTTCATTAGTATCGGTACTTTAAGAATGACGGGGGAAAGTACTCCGGTGAGAAAGCGCCGTTTTAATAAGAGCCGTGTGTGTTCAGCGCTCTGCTTCCACTCCCTGCACTGCAGCCGTGCCTGCAGTCCCGCCCCTCTCAAGCACGTTCTAAGTCCCTCCCCTCTCAAGCACGCTCTAAGTGCCTCCCCTCTCTCGTGCACGCGCTAGCTGCCAGAGCATGTGAGAAAACGAGAAGCATGGCTGCAAGTGGGAGTGCAACTGCCGCTGCGCCTCGGCTTGTTGACAAAAAAGACGCCAGAAGCGAAATTTGGAAGTATTTTAGCTATATCTCTGACAGTGAGGGCAAGCCTACGGACACCACGAGGCCTGTCTGTAAGACATTTATTAATTTTATTTAATACGAATTCTTGTCATTTATTTTATTTATTGTTCTCATTGTTTAAAAGTTTGTGTTATGGTTATGGTTCTGGTGTGAAATAAAGCACAATAATTACATTTAAGACCGTTTCCCTTTTTTTAAGAAAAGTATCGAAAAAGAATCGGAATCGCAATTCTTGACTTGGTATCGAAACCAAAATGTTGGTATCGTGACAACACTAGCTACTCCTGACAGTTAAACCTGATATTTAGTAGGTCTGTTAAGTATTGAATGCTGATAATTCTGACGTAATTTGGCCGGTCAAAGTTGTTTGGGCTCGGATAAAATCGCTCCGTTACTTTCGTCCCGTGTTATGTATGTTGTGTATGTGTGGTGTCAGTATGAGAGGATGACAGCGCGTATAATTTTTGATGTGGCCCAAGAGCCAATCACAATAATACCTGCGATGCAGTGAACCAATCACCTTTGAGGGGGGGAAAACCTATCGTTGATTAAACACTATCCAGTGTTTCCCCTACCATTGTCTTGGAGGGGCGCTGCGCCCCGCCAACGGAGCCCCGCGCCCCCCCCTGAAATTCAAGGTGTTTAAAAAAAATATATATATAATTTTATTTTTAAATATATAGGCTATATAGCACCAAATTGCAAATAATCTATAACTACTGTCACTTTTCACATTGAACATGTGCTCTTTTATTAAATAAACTAAACGCTTTCATTTTAAGTTGTGAGTTTAGTGTTTTTGACCCTAAGAAACACTGATGCATTAATCAATAATCCACAGCTCCTCTCTCTGCTCCAGAGGATTTAAAAAATATATATCCCAATGCCACAAAAATGCATCAGTGACGTGGTTGAAATCTTGTCTCCAGAAAACAAAAAACGGAAACAAGCGGTATCAGTGACTGTGTTTGATGTGGCTCTTTGCAGTAACATAGAAAAAATGTGGCTCTTAACCTCTGACTGGTTGGCCACCCCTGACCTAACTCAACAAATATCGAAAAACACATCGTTTTTCTAGAACAGATTACAAATCGCCTGAAAATGGTACAAACACGTGGCAACATGTGTGATGAAGGTGTTTATCTGGGCTATATCATGCAATCGAAAGTGAAACTTAACCTCGCTCCATTGCGGAGATATTCCTGCGAGAGTGCGGAAAACTGAAATGTATTAATTTCAAATGTGAAATTTTACCAATATACTCACGGACCACTAGGGGGCGCTCACGGACCACCAGTGTCCGCGGACCACACTTTGAGAAGCACTGCAGTCTACATGACTTGTATTATACGTTTATATTAGTCCATTTATTGAACATTTTAGAAACAAAACAAACAACAATAATAATTATAACAAAGAAAAGCAAAAAAAACACAAAAAAACGTTCAAGGTACAAAAAAACTAAAAGAAAATCATTCTCAAATAGTCTCCGTCATGTTCAACAGGGGCAAGCAGAAGCTTAAAAACGTTTCTAAATAATAGTTTGGATAAACTTCAGCTCATCATTACAGTTATTCCACAAATCAACACCTTTTGTTATGATGCAATAAGTTTGGGATTTGTTCGTATGGATGGTTTAAAAAAAAAAAAATCATGTTTCCTCTCAACGTGTACGTTTTCTCTCCGTGTGAAAAGTCCCTGGACTTTATGAAGTAATTGTTGATTTGCGACTTTGAACATAATTTGGATAGTTTTATAGTCAACCAGGTGTTGTAGTTTTAGTGTTTTTTAGATTGATAAATAACTTAAGTTTACCTTGAAGGCCAGGCAGACTTTGCGAGCCACCAGTTTCTCCATGGCGGTCAGCATGACGGGGTAACGGATCTCCTTGCCCTCGCTGTCCCTCTCCACCTTTCCGTCCAGAGCAGGAGATTTCCGGGCCTCCGCATGGGCGTAGTCTGGACCCACTGTGTACACCTGAGACGTTCAAACACACAGGAAGAAGGGAAGCATACAGAGGGGGTGTTGAAGCAGAAGGGTCATGAATCAATTCAAACAAGTAACCCCTCCATTTTAAACACCAGCTAAAGACACATCTTTTTAGATTAGCTTTTTATTAGCAACCCCCTCACTTTAAATGTTCTTTTAGTCTTTATTATTTACCTACCTTAGAAAGACACAGGTACACTAGGGCTGTGCAATTAATCGTATTTTAATAGCGATTACGATTATGGCTTGCGACGATTATGAAAACAGCATAATTGACAAAATACGATTATTTTGCTGGGTGCGCTTTCACCCCACCCTAAAAGCCCACTCGGTCACGTGGGAGTGACATGTGTTGTGAGTGTTCAGCGCGAGCGAAGATGTCAGAACAAGAGCAGCAACTCGTTAAAAAGAAGGGTACAACTATTTCCACTATTTGCAAGTACTTTGCCATTACATTCCACATCGCTAAAGATATCTGCCCAGTTAGCACTGTTAGCAACCAGGGCTTTAAGCAACTTGTCAACACGTTGGACAAGCGTTACGCGATGCCGTCTCGGTATTATTTCAGCAGGTCTGCGCTGCCTGCACTATATGACAAATGCCGTGGGGAAGTTGAGAGAGATGTGGCTTCAGCTGACTACTTTGCTACCACAACAGACCTATGGTCTAGCCCAGGGGTGCCCAACCAGTCGATCGCGAGATGCGTCTAAAAATAGAACAACAATATTCTGTTTTATCGTTAATGTCCTGTAACATAATCTTCCTGTGCCAGAATAATGCACTTGAACGCATAAAAGCTTTGTGATTGGCCGGCGTCACCCCTGTGTCGGGGCGTGGCTGAGGGTCTTCAGTACAGGTGGCGATATTGTCACCTGCCTGCGCTCATCTCTGAAACCAGACCATGTCAACAGGCTGGTGTTTCTTGCAAAACATCTTTAAGAGATGAAATGAGCAGCCCTACCAGCATTTGCCATGGTGGCCTAAACATTTTTATTTGGTCTTAAATTGTAGTTCAACATTTATTTCCTGTTACTTCTGGACCATGACGGTTGGCCAGCCTTCAACGTTTAACTGAGTGGAATATGTTGAATATGTTTTACCAAAATGTTGGCTATATGTTAAGGAGTTTTCAGTAGGTTGTGACAGTGCACTGCATCATATTTGATTTCATTTATTTTGGTCTAATTTATTTTTATTTATCATATTAATAATATATGTTTAGTATGGTTTTGGAAGTGTGCTCCAACATATTTGTTGATCTTGTTTATTGGTAAAATATTATTTGTTTTAAAGTTCAATAAATGGTCAATGAATAATCGTCAAAATAATCGTGATATCAATTATTGACCCAAATAATCGTGATTATGATTTTTGCCATAATCGCACAGCCCTAAGGTACACTTAGCTAAAGTACTTTTAAATGGTTTGTGGGTCAAACTAGAGGCCAGTTTTATTAGTTTCGGAAAAAACTAAAGGATCTTATAGTTCGAGGACTAAAGAGTACATTTTCTTATTTTTACGAAAACTATTGTGAGCTTTATAGTAGGATACAAGATACGACTATTTTATAGTGGGTTACTAGGTACGACTGGGTATTTTCTTAGTTTTGGGGAAAACTTTGACAGTCTTTTAATGTTTCTTTTATTATCTTTTCTTTTTAATGACTGTTTTAAAATGCCTTTGTCTGAATGTCTTTCATTTTTGTAAAGCACCTTGAATGGCCTTGTGTTGAAAGGTGCTATATAAATAAACTTGCCTTTCCTTGCCTTTATATTGGTTTATTTATTTTATAGGTCTTAAAGGATTTTATCTTATTGTATTAATCGAACATGCTTCAAAAGCAATATTTATTTTTAAGTTGGTCTTTTTTATTTGCATTTCTGTTGTACCTATATGTTCACATGTTTTATGGGGTTTAATATTTGATATTGTTGCATCGACTCAGTTGTCTTGTGTCTTATCTGTCGGAGAGAAACCATTATGTATTTTATTTGTATTATTGTGTCTATTAACCTGATCAAATGTTATATTTTGCTGCATGTACCTTTTAAAGTTCTTAACAAATAATCTGAGGGGAATTTCTTGTTGTGTATTTTTAACTTGTGATGTGTCATTTTGTGAAGCACTTTGAGCTCCATGTGTTGTATGAAAAGTGCTATTTAAATAAAGCTTTATTATTATGAACAGTACCTTCACGTCAGTTCCATCTGTGGGCATGAACTCCTCGTAGATGTAGGATCCGGTCTTTCGTACGCTGGCTTCTGGAGAATACACACTGCTGCGACTCCCGATCTACAGAGCGAGCCAGAGACAAAGAGGAACAATTCAAAGGGCGTTGGAAACTAAAACTTTATTTAACCCTTCAATGGGAACAAACTTTGGGATTGTGGGAAACGGTATTTCGATCTCTCTGTACACACAAACGGAAAGATTGACAATAAAGACTTTGAGTTTGAAACGTATAAATTAGGGCTGTCAAACGATTAAAATGTTTAATCAGATTAATCACAGCTTAAAAATTAATTAATCATGATTAATCACCATTCGAACTATGTCCAAAATATGCCATTTATTTATGTATATTGTTGTGGGAATGGAAAGATAAATTAAAGAAGGCGGATATATCCATTTAACATACAGTATCTATGTTTATTATAAAATTGTTCTGCTTGTCAAAATGAAAGACAACCCACACACCTATCAATCATCAAACCGTGGGGTCTTAATTCATTACGTGTTGATTTCTATCAACGGGGAGTACTTCAGGAAAGTCGACAGAGGGGGGGGGGCTAGTGGAGTACTTCGTGACCACAGAGTGTGAACGTTGTGATCGGCTGTTTTAGCGCAGTTTTCCAGTGAAGCCGGTTGGCGTAGTTTTGGCACAATTCCGTTGTACAGACCGACGTTAACAGCAGCCCTGTCTGTGCACACGGAGCCCGACTCTGTCGTCCGGTGATCTAACCGCCTTCTGGAAAAGCTTCACAAGTACGTCGGTACGCAAATGCGCTTTGTGACACAAGTGACGGTACGCATTTCAGATTACGCACATAACCTGCGTACCAGTTATGTGCACCCCTGTACTACAGCAAAAGTATTCTCCGTCGGGACTTCCTGCAACAACACCACGCCGTTATCAAAGATGTTCTATTGAGAAGACGATCACTACGTGACAAAAGTTTTCAAAACCGTGGCTACTGAAATCAATCTTACTAACTGCTGTCTGTGCAATTTACTCCGCGCGAGTTGGCAGACTTTATTTTGCTTACTTTAACATCATTTTTCATGGTGGGGCTAAGCCATTTCTTGGTATGGGTGTAGCCTACCCCAGCCATACCCTGGCGCTGCCACTGGTGGCACGTATGGGGCGGGCCATTCTGCACATGCGTTAAATGCGTTAAATATTTTAACGCAATTAATTCAAAAAATTAATTACCGTCGTTAACGCGATAATTTTGACAGCACTAGTTTAAATATTTGGGAAAATGTATTGATTCTTTTTTTATGATATGTATTTATATATAGGCTTCTTTCAAAACATGACCTTTATTTTCCAACTAACATACATTGAACATTTCTTATATTATGAGACCTATATTATATAAAAAAATATATTAAAACGTTTCTTTTTGACGCTGCATTTGGATGAGTTGTTCACATTTTAACTGCAGTATGGCTTTTTATCCATGTATTTTATACCTGTTGTGTTGACTTTATTATCTTTGCTTTTTAAATGCTTGTTTTTAAAATGCCTTTTTATAATGTGCTTCATCTGTATATTGTTCTTAAATGTCTTTTGTCTTATTTTGTAAAGCACTTTGGGTTGCCCTGTGCGGAAAGGTGCTCTATAAATAAACTTGCCTTGCCTATACAGTATTATACCCATAACACACCCACATTACACTGTTATTACCCCCATATTACACTTATATCACACGTATATTACACAGAGACAAAGCCTGTCAAATAAATGCTTCCCCCAGGATATAGAAACCACTTAAGGTGAAAAATCCTAGATTACCCAAACTTTTTTTCACCTCTGCAACCTCCCGATGGTAGTATTTGTCTCTCATGTTCCTTCGGTTTCACTGTGTTATTAACTGTAGAAGGTTTAACCCTGCAGCAGCTATTCAGCCATGTTTCCTTTGTGTAATTCATTGAATAATGCAATAAAACAACCCAAACTAGAATTACTGCCTCGTCAAGTTGCCTCAGCCAACCAGTCAAGTGGCAATTTACATCAAAATCTGCCCAAAATGTCTTCACTTAATCCTTCAATCCCATTAGACATGTGTAAGAAATAGTCATTATAAGCATTTATTGTTTGCTTTTGGCCAAAAAAAGAGTTGTGTGAGGTCCAAGAGACCTTAACCACCGAGCATTACATTCCAATAAGTTTACCCTTAAGTAAAAAGGGACTTTTTTTTGCAAAATTACAAGAAATGTCCTTTCATGCATTCCTGAGATATCTTGTTCATGAGAAATACTTTGATGTAAGGATGCTGAACAACCCTGAAAACATGATGTCTTAGGCAATTAGGAGAATTAGCATTATGATTAGGGTTATATTAAAATACACTCATTGACATGTAGGGACAGTGGATACTCTTTACAAAAGCTCTACAATAAGCCAATAAGAGTTCAAAAGCAGTGTGACGTTAAGGTAACTTGTCAGTATTTCTAGATCAGAGCATCTTTTTGCCGACCTAAATATCTCCTGTGTCTTTGCCAGCTTTACCTTTCTGAAGAGCCTCTGGCTGCCCCCCCCAGCAGACGATGGGTAGTAGATGTACACGTTGTGGTCCTCGGCACACACAGGTTTCTCCACGAAGGGTTTAGGGAACACTTCCCCGTTCACCTCCACGTGGTCCTCCCCTTCCACCAGGTTGCACTCTGCACAGGGGGACACTTCGGTTTTAAACACATAGTAAAAGCATTTAATCAAAAAGTACCTGGGACATTTCAAAGAAGGGAAATACATAAATAAGATTGATGGTTGTAGATTCTTACCGAGGTGCCTTTCACATAAATGTATAAAAGAAATCCATTGCATTTTGACAAACTTTATTTATATTTAATTTAACATTCTACTAGAGATATCATCATAAATATAGATTCAAACACTCTTCTTTAAAATATTTAGCAGCATTTTACATTTATAGGAGGAAAAACAGGCAAAAACAACATCTCAGCTACATCTAATTGTTTTTTTGACAGCTCGACTTCTTGTTTTGGTTTTTAAAAAACTGAAAATATGTGTATATTGCAAAGTAACTGATGTCCTGTATGCTGTTGTATGTCACAGGTAGATCATTTAATATATATTTATTGATGGGATTTGTTTTAGTTTCCATCCAAAATCATGCAAACTTATTCACACAAAGTATATTAACTTTCTCACCTTCAGGATTGTCGGGGTCTCTGTTCAATACGCCGTAACGAGGCAGGTCGATGCCCTCTTCCTTTAGTATCCTGTAAACTTCCCTCCTGATGGAAAATCCAATAAAATGTCAATAACCTCAAAAAAATAACAATCTAAGTATTTCAATGTATGCAGCTCTGATGTGCGCGTATACGTTTTGCTGGGGTTAGGCAGTCAAACAGTTATGTAAAAAGTGTGAAGATGACAATTACATCATGTTTTCTCTCCTATTAATAACGGGCAAGTGCAAACAAGATGGTTGTGTAAAAGAGTCCAGCTTCTGCATTTTGAAAGTGACATAAACTTGATGCAGGTATATTGTTTATTTTATTTTATACAGAGATACCCTCAATTTTTAAGTATCTTCTTCAACAAGTAGCGTAACGATGAATGTAGCTACTTAATGACCCCTCGTTGCACTCATTGTTTGTGTTATGAGGCACCATTATGTTGAAATTAGCAGTAAAAGCTTCTTCTCTGTGATACCCTTCAGTCCTGCTTTACCTGTCCTGGATGAAATACTGCATGTTGAGGTCGTTGAGGAGCAGTGGATTCCTGAGCTTGGCGTACTCCACAGCTTTGTCCAGAGGGAAACCTGTGAAAAGGCACACAAACAAAATTAGTTATTAACAAATAGACCATCTCATTCTATTTTATATGTATTTACATTACATTTTATTTAGCTGACGCTTTTATCCAAAGCGACTTACAATAAATGCATTTGACCAAGAAGATACAAACTTGAAGAAAACAGAATCATAGAGCCAAAACATTTCAAGTGCTACTCAACTGGCTTTAGATAAGCCAGTCCTTTATTAGTATATAAGTGCTTAGTTAGTACAGGGTATGTGCAGGAGTCCTGAAGTCAGATGTAAAACCTATTAAGACCTTTTTTAAGACCCTTTCCATACATTTTAAGACCTCATCGCCACTTGGAGTTTTAACCGGTTACCTTGGCGACACACTTGACCTCACATTGACTATATGCAGTATTGATTGTCCTTCCTCCTTATCTTCCAACCATTTGGACGCAAACTTGCATTTCCCCATAACGATGTTGCTTAGCAACCGGCGTAAACGGACCTCCGCGCGCTATCAAGCAGTGAGCGTGAGATGTCCTGTTCAGATGACGTCAAATCCAACGGGATGCCATAAATAAACTACACAGAATCACAATACACACCTACGCAATGATTACATTCAGGCAGACTGTAGAATACAACCTCTTTGGACAATTTATATACTTATTGAAAACAAGCTACAAAATGTAATACCTTGGAAAATGCCGTTTAATACTTTTTAATAGCCTTCATTTTCGCTAAATTGATTTATCAACTTTTAATACTTTTTAAGACCCCGCAGACCCCCTGTAGTATCTACGTTTTTTTTTACTTGCACTATTTTAAGTGTTTTATTGTGTTGCACTGTTGGAGGAGCCTGTGACCTAAGATTTCCATTGACATATCTACACTGTAGCTACAGTATGTACGAATGACAATAAAAGCCTTGAATCTTCATCAAACAAAACCCCACTACTTCTCTTTTGTCTTTCTCTGTTGACCTAATAGCTACTAAACTGAAATAAAGATGATTATTTAAGCACATTTTCTAATATCAGCATTGAGTTATTTTGGCAGATTAAATCTTGTAGTGACAATCTGTTGTGAGGTACGGTACGTCCACACTGCAGCTTTTCAAAAATCTTGAAAATCTTGGAGCTGGGCGTGTCTGAAAGCTTGGGGATTTTTTGCGAGCAACGAGACCAACAACCAATCACATGAATCTCCCGCCCCCGACATACAAAGCAAAAAACCCCGGGGATTTTATGCGAGCAATATATATATATATATATATATATATATATATATAAACAGGGCTGCACATAACTGGTGCGCAGGTGCGCATGCGCACCTCCGCCAAAAAAAGAGCACCGGGTCATTTGAAACAAAGCGCATTTGCGTACCAACATTGAGAAGGAGAGAGAGAAGAGAAAAGAGAAAATAGAGGAGAGAGGAGAGATGAGAGAGAGAGAAGAGAGAGAGAGAGAAAGATATATGCGAGTTGCATATGAACCATGATATGAACTCAGGGCCGGCCCGTAGCGCTGGCTAGATGTTCGCCTAGGGCGCCAGATCTGGGGAGTCGCTGCGCTGGCAGTTCTGGGAGGGAAAAAAACATTTTGACCGTTGGGGCTCATCCTAATTTTCGGCCTTGATGTAACAATATTCACAATTAAGTAAATGTAACACCCTTTTCACCCCGGTTCCACCTTTCATTTGCCCTGTACGATGGGCGCTGTAAGTGATGAAAATGGGGGATGTTGGCTTATCTGGCGCCCGCAGCTCACAGACAAAATGCGAGTGAGCGAGGGAGAGAGGGAGGGTGGTACCAGCGCTATTGTTATTATAATCTGGTGCCGTGCTAGCTGCTCTAACGGATATAAGAAGAAGATGTTTCTACAATAATGTGGAGGGAGAGTCCTCTCCAGTCAGACTGAGAGGCTGATAAGTTAACTACAGCTCAGTGAGGTAAAGGAGTCTTAGTCTAAGTTCAAACGGTTTGGTCACAATTTATGTAAACACATATTTCCAAGGCACTCCTTTATAATTATTGGGATAAACAGGTTTTAAATCATTCCAATGTATACTATAGGACAGTAACCAAAAATATCCTTTAAAGCTGGAGATTTAAAAAAAATGCATAAATAAATAAATGCTAAGGTAAAATAAGATATGAATGAACAACAATAAAATAAGTTACATTAATTTGTTATTGGCTATTGGTTATGTTCACATACTTATTTGATTACATCCACTTGTCTAAGATGACAACAGAGACTTTCGACCCAAAACTAGCTGTTGACTTGTGGATGCAAGCAGCTAATCACAGACTCAACCAGAGAGGAAGTAGTAGGCCTACATCATCAGCTACCATGTCTGACAGAGAGGAAGACAGTGAGGAGAACAGTCAGGAGGGTAGTGATGACAGCTTGTAGGAGGTTACTGGTCGTGCTAATGTTGTCTTGTGTTCACCTCTGCATGTGTGTTCTGTGTTCACCTCTGCATGTGTGTTCTGTGTGCACCTCTGCATGTGTGTTCTGTGTGCACCTCTGTGTGTTCAGTGCCGTGTGTCTGGCAAATAAAGTCAAGACCCCCTCAAAAGTTACGGTTTATTTCATTTTAAGGATGAGCACCAAGCAACATCTCCAGGTGCTCCTTTGAGAACCAGGGCAAAAAAGTTATGTGCACCCCTGTTTATAAACTCCCCAAACAGGCGAAAACCTACCAGTTTCACCCACTGTCTCTGCCACCTCCCTCCATGCCTGGTTCCTCCGGTTTGTATCCCGTTAATAGTTCTGGTCGTAAAGAACCGGGTGATTTGCTACCGTAATTTCTCGTTTGGAATATGAGGAAATGAACTGTGGTCTGGCTCTCCCTGCTTACACGCGGTTTGATTGGCTAGCGCTTCTACTGTCAGATTTGCATAAACGGGATTTGATTGGCTGACGCTTCCAGCTCAGCTTCAAAAGTTGAACATTGCTCAACTTTTGAATCCTGAAAATCCTGGAAATCCTGGAAATCTTCGCTTCGCTCCCCCACAATGCAGTTCGGCGACAAGCGAGGCAAAGTGACGTCATCCCCATTCAAAGTCAATGGGCAGAGAAGCGTTGGAAGCGGTTGAAGATTTGTTTAAAGCTGCAGTGTGGACGTACCGTTAGCGTCCGCTCTGAAGTTACAAATCCTCTCCTGAGCATTTCCCCTCCACCTCCCTTAATGTTCCCCCTCGTGCAACAGGATGATTTTGACATTAGTTGGTGGATGTTTACCTTTGGAGTGGAAGGAGATGAGGCAGTCGCAGAGCGGCCAGTTCTCCACCGGCTCCTCCAGGATCACCTCCTCTGGAAAGATGACCATGTCGATGTAGTCAAACTTACAAAGCCGCTCCAGGATCTGAGTCATGGGCTTTGATTTGGATTTCTTCACCATGGCACAGATGCCGACCACGATCTGTCGCTCCGGTGGCTGAAGGAGAGGACGGGGGAAGACAGAGAAATGGGACAATGCAACGGCAAGTTTAGTTTAATGTAAAAACAGCAGAGGAGCACAGATACTTGTCTTTCATCCTTTTTTTATAACTGTTGATGTATTGATGTATAGCTACACGCCCACTCGCACTCTCAGGTCAGCTGATCAGTTGCTCCTGAGGGTGCCAAAAACAAAGCCTAAGCGCAGAGGGGACCGTGCTTTCTCTGCTGCCGCCCCTAAACTGTGGAGCGACCTGCCCTTGCTCATCAGACAGGCTCCCACACTGTCTGCTTTTAAATCCCGTCTTAAAACCCACCTCTTCTCCTTAGCATTCAGAAACAAGTAGATTGTTGCTTTTATTTGCTTTCAGTGGTCTATTGTTTTTATTATATGGCTGTTATTTATTTTTTTAATTATTACGTTTATTCTGGTTTGTTTTGTGTTGTATTTTAAATGTATTTATATTATGTTGTGTGAGCTTATCTCTCTGTACAGCCCTTTGGTCTGAAGGTTTTAAAGTGCTATATAAATAAAGTTGGATTGGATTGGATTATTGTGATTTTAAGGGTGTCCATTATCATCTGGCGGGGACAACAGCTGGAAATTAGCAATGTTGGCTAAAGCTGTCCCATTTACTGTTGTTTGTGACAGTTGATGAATGGGGACTGTCCACGACACTATAAACAAATAAACCAAACCAAGCTAAACATCAGGATGTGACTCCCAGTGGATTTTGAAAATGTATTGGACCTACTGGTTATATTGTGAGATGTCAAAGAGGGTTTTTTGATTAGTGCGCTTGACAGGCTTATTCTCGTTAACGATGTATATCCTTTCATGATAAAGGATTTAAACGTATTTTTAGATTGTAGGGTGTCATTTGACCTGCAGATACAAATTTGGCACCTAAACCCTCAACATGTACAGGCCCTGACACCAAACTGACACCAAAGAACACGTCCCGACGGAACACAACCGTTGTGTCGCCTCGCGTCTCCTGCGTCTCCTGCGTCTTGGCCATGTGTCGCACTGCAACACACCGCAAAGACTTCAGCCGACGGCCAAGAAGCACTTACGAACTGCGCATGCGTGAGTGACAATAACTCTCCTTACCAGCAGGCGGCGGTAGTGTGTATTCGTCATTCAAAAGAAGCAACAACCGGAAGACAGACTGCGTGATATAAACAAACAACAAATAGCGTGTGCGTTCCATTTTCACTCTACAGCGAGAAGCTCACGGGGCTTTCCCGAACCTGTGTCGAGAGCTGGAGTTCAATGAAATCTCAGATTTGCCTTCTTAATCGTTTGTTTGGGTCCCTCACTTCCGTTTAGCTTGCACTGATTCGCTAGCTGAACAGCCAATCAGAGTGATTTATTTGGCCGACGGCCTTTAGCCGACAATAGGGCTGCTCAATTCATCATATTTTAATCGCAATTACGATTTTGGCTTGCAACGATTATGAAAACAACATAATTGAAATAAAACGATTTTTTTTTTTTTTGTTATTGCTTTTTTTTTTTTTATTATTAGCTTTTCAGTTGAATTATACTTAAAGTTCAGGGTAATCAACTGTTAAAAACATACTGTTCACATTTTTTTGATATCAATTATTGACCCAAATAATCGAGATAATGGTTTTTGCAATAATCGAGCAGCCTTAGCCGATAGCCGGCGGAAGGTGTCGGCACGGCCGAAAAGACACGACGGGGCGGGACACACCAATCTGAGTAGGGCGACAGGACGCTCATTGACGGCAAGACATCTATCGACGGCCAAAATCGGGTTGGTGTGTAAAGGGCTTTACATGTACATTTGGGGATCAAAGACAATGTGGAAAAATTGTGATTTGTAATATTGGGCTTTATTGATCAAATGTCGTCGACCTCATCAATACCTCAGTTTGCTTAACGCCAAATAATGTATTGCACTTTTGAATGGAAAAACATTCAGCAGGTTGATAAAGAAAACATCTAAACTAAAACATTATTGCATGCATACAGAATCTTATTCTTCAGAAAACACTTAAAGGTTTTGTGTAGATTGATTCCTACATTAATATGTAAGTAAGAGCCTTTTTGCTGATGTGCCACAGTAATGTAGTTGAAAGGGAAAGTATGGACGTACTGAGCTGCTTCCTGTAAAACGCTCTCTAGATAAAGGCAATCAGCTCGTAGAAATCATAACAAGTAAGCGAGCCGCTAACACAGCACTACCATAATGTCCTTTTATAGCTAAAGGACTACACAACAGACCAGATGTTTATCTTCTGCATTGTTTTCACGCCAGCCGTTGTATATATTTGTCTCCATTTATTTTCCGTTCCTAATAAAAACATTCCTCTTTATAATTTCCAGGCTTGTTAATGTCCTACTGCCCAGAAATGACCTAGACTTTGGCTTCCTGTTCCCAACATTAAATCATATTTGTTCACATGAACACTTTAGTTACATTAGGTCATTTTAATGCAACACATGGTCTCTAATTTTAGGTACTATAACATTTTGATATTTCACGATCAAAACGTTTCAAAAAGGAACAAAAAACATGATATTTTCACTTAGTCTATTTGCAAAGACACAGCTTCTACACCAGCTTTCTTTAAACTTGAGTGAAGGGAATATCTCATGGGCAAAGTGTATCAGTATCTCACTCTGTCTTTCAACTTTGAACTCACACAGATAAGTAGTGTGACTATCAGGAGACAGTTTGTGAAAAAGCATTCTCAGATAGTGAGTTAGCGAAAATACATGTTTGTGAGGTAGTGAGCTTAAGTGTGTATAACTAAGACTGAGCACAAGTTGTATATGAGTTCATTAACAGATGTTCTAATACTGTATCTTATATTAATTTCTGTTTTCAAGATGATTCCGGATAGCATGGGGTGATCCTTCTTAAACAAATGCTCATTTTGTAGGTGTAGTATTTCTTTAACACCTACCGACTCGTCGTCATCGCCTTCCATATCCTCTTCTCGAAACATCTCGTTCTTCATGCCTGCCTCCATTTGACCCATGTCCTGCTCGTCATCCCCACAGCCAATCACAAACCGAGGAACGTCTCTGTGGCTCCGCCCCCGTTCTAATGCTTCTCTTTCTCCTTCTCCAGCTCCTTCTCCTTCTCCTGCTTCTGCTCCTGCCACTACACCTGCTCCGTCAGAGGTCCTGGACATCACATACCTCTATAAAACATGGCTGCTTCAGGTGGCTCCTCCCCAGATAGCAAAGCAGGAAGTAGCCCGGTATCAGTGTATGACCGTCACTATATGACCGGCGTCTGGGAGCCCGGTGATAAAGTGGAGTGTCTGTTGGAGTTTGTGATAACAGCTACGTGCATCTGTGCTGCTACAGTTTGTGTTAGAAGAGAGAAGGCGTACTGACGTAGGAAGTCAAGATCCTGGTTGCTGCTCCGAGTCAACATCTGGGCACCATTTTTCTTGCCCTAGGGAAAAGAAACAAATAAATTGAGCAAATATTCTGTCATTTTTTTTGCCATTTTTGTGCTGAAAGAAATATTTACAAGAGATATAAGAACATATTTGGTAAAACCATGTTCCAGTGCTGCTTATGCGTGAAGAAAGTTAGTGTTGCGGACTCAAATCAAGAGATTGAGAGTTAGTCAAGTAAAACAACTGTTTAAACAAAAGATCGAAACTTGACAAATTAAGCAAGACTTATGCAGTTGTAGAGACACTCACTAGTTCAATTAAAGTCAATAAGTATACTGAATAACCAGAGCACTGGTCGCTGTGGTGTTGCTACATCCAACATTTGTGAAATAAACGTCAGGGTTGTAAGATCAGGCAAAAGAAAAGAAGAAGAATATACATTTCTGAGGAAACCCATTTATGCAACACTTGAGATAAATGTTACTTAAGACATGAGTCAGGATTTGGGCTCAAAAGAATCTCTGGTATTTTGCTGACACGTGGAAAATGTATTGATGGCAGCTCTCACACGCATTAATCCAGAGTAAAGAAGCTTACAGGCATGCAAGGTGCTCTCATCGGTAGAAAACTACAAGAGATATGATCAGATTACACCCTGTCAGTTTCAAAAATGTAAGTAGAGGATCCAGAAGGTGGAACGTCTTCAAACCGATTCTTTTTAAATCATGTGAAATTCAGGAATCTGTTGAGAGTGAGCAACAACACACATTCATCATACATGACCCCAGTTTACAGTCAAATCCAATGCAACAGCCGTGATTTAGAGGTGAGGTGTCACTTCAAAAGGTCCCTTTGTTGTGTCCCTTTAAAAAGGCAATATTAAACGTCCCATGTCATGCTTTTCCGGTTATTACCCGTCCCCTTGTGTGTTACGATGGTTTTTCTGCATGTAAACGGTCTGCAGAGTCACAAACCCTCAAAGTACACCCTGTAGCGAGTTTAACACTAAAGGCCGCTACACACCAACCTGAGACCAAAGAACGCTTGCCGAAGGCGTCCCGACTTTTAAGTGTACTTTTATATGTAGATATTACTTTTTCTCCATTAATCTCCGTCACGTTGTTTCCATAGCAACAACAACTTCCTGTCAACTGCGTTAACTCTCCTTCAAAATAAAAGGATGTCCATACAAAATAGAAAGCCAAGCCAAATGACACTTAAGACATAATAGGCCTACAACTGCAACGAAAGTAACAAACACAATGCGATATCCTTTTCAATTTCAAAGAACACAAATTGGGTTACATTAACAAATAACTATAAAACAACAATACTGTAGAATAACAAAAAGAATGCCGTGAATAAACCGAAACACATGTCGAAGACGTCCGCTGCTGATTACTACCCCCCCCCCCCCCCCCGTGCGCGCGGAACGAATATTCGCTGCCGATTACTACCGAATATCCGGAGCCCGAAAAATGGTATTCGGGAGAGCCCTACCGCAGACCCATTCTCACAGCGTTTAGGGGGGGCGGGGCAGGAGCTCCAACAAGCCGTTTAGGACAGAGAGTGAATACACATACTATACAGAGATGCTGTGAGAAACCAATGTGAGTTTGGAAAATTGCACAATATAAATATATTCTAGTAGACCTCAACAATGGAATTATGATCAGTAGAAATGGCCATGACATGGGACCTTTAAGCTTTTGAAGTTTTGATAAATAAATGTATTTTTAAGTCTGCGAGTAGAAATTAAAGTGTGGACATCATTCCCAAATGTCCTTTCCATCAGGTGTATTACGTTAAGGCCGTAGCTTTTATTCAGATGTTGTGGCCCGGGTCTTCTAGGTAAGACACTAACACTATAAACAGCAACAACAACATCATCGTCTGCTCCATGTAATGTTGACGCTGTTGCCATGACGAAAGATCATGAAGAGGAGCCCGATTGATTCTCTATTGTTTCCTGTATGTTCAGCAGTTTAATGAAACACATGATACCCGGCCGGATCGCATTACATAAGATGTTCATTTACACTGTAGCTGCTTTGTGCATATCGATATGTCTTGAATCTTGAGTTCCCACATGTCTGGGAAGTGGAACAAAGACAGCTGCTGTTTGTTGTTATTGTCTTTACTGTGTGATCACAGTCTGATAAACAACAGTTTCCTCTTAATGTGGCTTAATGGCTTCTTTTCACCACAAAAATGTGTTTTAATTTCATACGTTTGTGTTGCTGTTTTACAGTGTGAACATATTCTTCTTGGGTGTGTGTTATACATTACTGATACATTACTCCTCATACTATAGGATAAGGTTAAACAATATAAGGCACTTTACCCATATTAAACTCAAGCTCCAGAAACACTTTAGTATAAGTAGAGTAGATAACAATAATAACACACTTCTCACTATAATGTAGGGCGGCAACTAACAATTGTTTTCTCATGTGTTCAGTTGAATTATACGTTATAAAACAAATAAAACCTTATTATCATAATAAGAGACCGAAAACAGCACCTTCTGCCATTTTTGCATAAAAACGCACTTAAACCAATGATCCATCCATCCATCCATCTTCTCCCGCTTATCCGTGGTCGGGTCGCGGGGGTAGCAGTTCCAGCAGAGAGCCCCAAACTTTCTTTTCCCTGGCGACATCAACCAGCTCTGACTGGGGGATCCCAAGGCGCTCCCAGGCCAGCGAAGAGATATAATCCCTCCACCTGGTCCTAGGTCTACCCCTTGGTCTCTTCCCAGCTGGACGTGCCTGGAACACCTCCCTAGGGAGGCGCCCAGGTGGCATCCTAACTAGGTGCCCGAACCACCTCAACTGGCTCCTTTCGACGCGAAGGAGGAGCGGCTCAACTCCGAGTCCCTCCCTGATGACCGAACTTCTCACCTTATCCCTAAGGGAGACACCAGCCACCCTGCGGAGAAAACCCATCTCGGCCGCTTGTAAACCAATGATCGAGTATTAAAAGTTGGTAAATGGATTTTATTTTTCTGTTGATTCCTCAAACCCATTAGTTGTCTTATTGTTGCAGCACTAGTATTTCTAACAGCAACACAAACTGTAGAGTTATCACACAGTTAAATCAACAACTCTATGAACCATTTACAACAAAAACTGAACAATTACAACCTTTTGAAAGTAGTATTTGTTCCAGGATTGTTGTATGACTGTCCTTGTACACAAAAATAAACTACTTGAGGTTTGAACTTGCGCTCAATTGATTGAAAACTGTTCAGTCTGACTGAACACTCATCGGCAAAATCATAACAAACACCAAAACAATGGATCTATTTCTGATCATCTTGTTCCAGAAACCCAACCGTTAACAGCTGCCAAATAGCACTTGCAACACAAGTCCTTTAATATTAGGGGTGTGTGTGCGGTCACTCGGTGCTTATCCGTTATCTGATCCGATAGCAGAAAATAACTAAGGCTGTTACATAAGACGTCATTCCCTGAGCCAAAGCCCAAGAGCAAGGTGTGAAGTGTAGACAACCAAGAAGTGGAAGAAACTTGCCGCTGCAGGAAGTTCACACACTCGGTGGATGAAGCCAAAGCTGGTTCATGTGTCACTCATCAGAATAGTCTCACACCCCCATCAAACACCACCAGCACCAACCTGACCCCACAACTAACAGCTGAGTCCGGGGGAAAAGCCTCCAGAAACAGATGGAGGATCGTGTTTCCCATCAAACGTATTATATTCTGTATAAACTGTAAAGCCCCCATAGAAACATTTAAATGTCTGATATTGAGCTATATAAATAAACTTTGATTGATTGATTGACACATGTGTTAAAAAGTAATCCAAGGTAATCCATCCTTTCACAGGTATGGCATATCAAGATGTTGATTGAACAGTATCATAAGGTGTGCTTCAGGCCGGTCAAAATAAAACCCTGACAAGTTTTTTATTTTTGACGAAGCGTGCCATTGACATCCTGCAGGACTGTGAATGCCCATCAGAGCTGTTGCCCATGAATGAAGGTTAATATCACTTCCAAACACCGTCTCCAATGTCGTTTCCAAGAAATTAAGAAGTACATTCAAAAGGCATTCCAAAGCTAGATCAAGTGTCCCTCCACATCCAGCTTCTTCACCTGATGCAACAGTTGGCTTGCACAACCAAAGCATTTCTGCACAAACTGCCAGAAAACACGTGAAGGAACTCGTCTGCATGCTCCATGTCCTCACGCTCCATGTCCTCACGCTCCATGTCCTCACGCTCCATGTCCTCACAAGGCCTGATTGTAGCGGAGCGTCGTAAAACAACAAATTGTTCTCTTCACAGATCAATCCTGTGTGACCACAGAAAAATGCATGTCCGTATGCTATGTGAAATCTGAAACTCAGATCGCCTCATAAAGTGTTCTTTCAAGATAAATCTGTGCATTTGAGAGTGGCCACCAGCCCAGGGACTAACTGTCTAATAATCATGCTGTTACCTGTCAGGTAAAACAGATTCTCTTTGCTCACAAACACAGAATTTAACACATTTGTGTACAATATTTGACAGAAATAAGCCTTTTGTGTGCAAAGTAGGGCTGCTCGATTATGGCAAAAATCATAATCTCGATTATTTGGGTCAATAATTGAGATCACGATTATTAAAACGATTATCCATTTACTTTGAAAACATCAATTTATTGAAAAAAAAAAAGCTGTAGTATGTTTTTAACAGTTGATTACCCTGAACTTTAAGTAGAATTCAACTGAAAAACCAATGAAAAAAATAATATATATATTTAAATAAATAATACAAAAAATAATCGTTTTGTTTCGATTATGTTGTTTTCATAATCGTTGCAAGCCAAAATCGTAATTGCGATTAAAATACGATTAATCGAGCAGCCCAAGTGCAAAGATAAAGACTTAGATGTTTACCACGGCAACATGGAAAAATAATTTCTGTTCAGGGTATTTAAATACACCTTCATTCAAATACAGCGCAGATTATTTGACCATTAAGCTGTTCTGGCGGCTAAAGAGAAGCCCTGCTCTTCATGCGTCCTGGACTCTGTTCCCACAGACGATTC